CATTGTTATACATGCAGACATACACACGGAGTACAGTCAGTGAAACAGTTAGAAACATGCAGCCAAAGTCGAAACAACTGGCAGATATGCATACACATCTGTCGCTGTTTTTTTGGGTGTTGCATTAGGGCAAACAGACAGACGGACGAACGGGGGGCCAGGTTGCCTGATGTGCCACTGTTGATTTTGTGGGCAGCAGAATGCCTCAAGTTTTCGGAGACACCACGCTGACACATGGGCAGTGGGTGAGGGGAGGAAGGCAGCGTCTGTTTCGACAAGCTCAACGAGGGCACGGCGTGCGTGGTTAGAGCTACAGTGACAGCAGATAGCATATGACACCATCAGCTATAGCCTGCCTTACAAACACACTGTGTACAAACTAAGGAGAGCCTTCAGTATACACATGTGCATATGTGAGTTAAACTGGAAAGGGAAATGTGTTGTGTTTGTCCATATGCACATTCAACACTTTCAAGTGGTGCAAGCTAGAACAGCTTTGTTGTTAGGATTTGCGTTGTACAGAGTGGAACCCCTCCACACAGACAGAAGAAAGTGTCCATATTAGAGAGGTTTTCCTTATTTCGTGGGGGTGTCTAATTAGCCCTTGTTGAAGTAGTGTACTTGTAAAAACTGGTAGAGCAGACTCTAGTGTATCAGTTGTAAAGGGTAAACTAGTGTAAAACTGGAGGGACTAGTAAACTAGTGTAACAGAAAAACTGGTAGAGTGGACTCTAGTGTATCAGTTGTAAAGGGTAAACTAGTGTAAAACTGGAGGGACTAGTAAACTAGTGTAACAGAAAAACTGGTAGAGTGGACTCTAGTGTATCAGTTGTAAAGGGTAAACTAGTGTAAAACTGGTAGAGCAGACTCTAGTGTATCAGTTGTAAAGGGTAAACTAGTGTAAAACTGGTAGAGCAGACTCTAGTGTATCAGTTGTAAAGGGTAAACTAGTGTAAAACTGGTAGAGTGGACTCTAGTGTATCAGTTGTAAAGGGTAAACTAGTGTAAAACTGGTAGAGCAGACTCTAGTGTATCAGTTGTAAAGGGTAAACTAGTGTAAACTGGTAGAGCAGACTCTAGTGTATCAGTTGTAAAGGGTAAACTAGTGTAAAACTGGTAGAGCAGACTCTAGTGTATCAGTTGTAAAGGGTAAACTAGTGTAAAACTGGTAGAGTGGACTCTAGTGTATCAGTTGTAAAGGGTAAACTAGTGTAAAACTGGTAGAGTGGACTCTAGTGTATCAGTTGTAAAGGGTAAACTAGTGTAAAACTGGTAGAGTGGACTCTAGTGTAAAGGGTAAACTATGTAAAACTGGAGTGGACTAGTGTAAAGCTAGTGTAACTAAGAAAAACTGGTCTCTATCTCACTGCACCTATTTCTATCTTGCCCATATTTCACTGTCCTCCCAAATAAGGGTGTCAATGATTTTGCATTTCTTGTACGAACAAGAGAGTAAGAAGAGACAAACTAACTATCCTTAGTGCTTTGACTACAGTTGGACTATGGAATAGTGGCATACTCTATCTCACTACACCTATTTCTATCTTGCCCATATTTCACTGTCCTCCCAAATAAGGGTGTCAATGATTTTGCATTTCTTGTACGAACAAGAGAGTAAGAAGAGACAAACTAACTATCCTTAGTGCTTTGACTACAGTTGGACTATGGAATAGTGGCATACTCTATCTCACTACACCTATTTCTATCTTGCCCATATTTCCCTGTCCTCCCAAATAAGGGTGTCAATGATTTTGCATTTCTTGTACGAACAAGAGAGTAAGAAGAGACAAACTAACTATCCTTAGTGCTTTGACTACAGTTGGACTACGGAATAGTAGAGTGGACAAGTGTAACAGGAAAAACTTGTAAAGGGTGGACTAGTGTCCCTAAAGAGGGGTTCCATTTCTACTGTTCTTCTACATAGGAGGAGGAGGTTTGCAAAATGTAAGATGGCCTCACATTTTGCCACCCCTCATAGGCATCTGCACATCACATACACTTCTGTGAGAAAGTCAACCAAACACTCTCGAGTGCATATACAGTACACTGAAATTGGGGTCATTGGTAAAAAAATCAAACCTCTTTCGGTACAACAGGATATTCTCACAGATTTATAATACCTTGGTGCCCTAGATCAAATTAATAATATACGTGCACATGTGTGAGAAAGTCTATCAAAAGTATATGTACACATACATAAACGGTGGCCTGTGGGTACATAGAATCAAGCCAGTTTCAGAATAACAGGATATTCTCAGGATCCGATACACCGCGACTACCTACTAAAAGCACAATAAACTCTTTGGTGAGAAATTCAATCAAAGACCTCCAGGTACGTAATAAGTTGCGGGTATTAGGAAATATGTAGCGGGTTCAACAGGATATTTTCAGGATCGTATATGCCTTGGTGACCTACTAAACACACTTAATGCTATAACCCCCCCACCGGGTATCACATATGGATTGATGTATACACGTGCGCAAAAGTTCTCAACCAGTGGAATATCGCTTTTCAAAACATCTCCTCTAAAACGTCTCAATTCCTCGTTATTAAGGCCGGATTAAGAGGGTTTGTAATGTCACATAACTCTCCACACGTGAGTAAGCGCACGTATTCACCAGCACACTCTGGCGCCACGGGGAAGATCAAAATAATGTCATTATCGACTCTTCGACCGTGACAGCTCGACATGTGTGCCCTGGTGGACTGATTGGTTCACTGGGCTTGACCTGTCCCCTGCTGGAACGGAGGAACCTGATCATTGACATAGCAGCGGGTATCATGGAGATGCAAAGGGTGCTGTTTAGGGTAAATAGCATTGTGAAACAACTTCAGATGGATGAACGCTGAGATTGTGAGGTCACAGTGGATGCAATGATGTACAGTTAACTACAGGGAGCCAAGGGGCAATAGAGAAATCTTGAGACTATTCGATTTCACCCCCGTTTGGATTTCACGTAAGCAAAACAAGCAACGCTATCCCACCACGTCAAGGTCCATCTAATGGGTTCATCAGGGTCCAAGAAAAAATAATAAGAGAGGTTTCGACAATTAATATTATTCATTTGCTCGTTAGTGGTTAAGGGATGTGAGAGTGCTAGTGTGCACCAGAAAACACATCTCAATGAACGAGTCTTTTTTTTGAGATTATGTCTACAGAGGGACCCCTCTCTAAAGACACACCTGAAATGAGAACACCTCTCTAAGGACACCTTTTCTTTCCTCAACAACAACAACAACAACAACAACAGTGCTTGTGTGCAATTTAACCCCAGAGATAATAAAGACAGCTCACAACTGGCAACTTCTTCTGTCCAGTTGGAGTTCTACTGTAGTGATTACATGCGGGGCAAGTAAGGATAGGAAAAATTGGTCTGTTGTAACTAAGATACGACACGGGTGGGCAGCAGAATTACGTCTCTTCTGAAATTTAACTCCGTCCGTTTTGCCATGAAAACCAAGCCAAATATCCTCCGTTGGATAATGTGGCAGGTGGGTGAAATAGACATGCGATACACCACTTAGGGCCCCCAGGACATCTGCCAGAGGGAGAGAATGTACTGCTAGTGGTGGCGGGTTTAGAGCCAAAAGGGAAATAGAGGTGGATTAGGACAGGAAATGGAGATTCCTGAGGTTGCTGTATAGTGTATAGTGTATATATACACTCAATTGAACTCTAATCTGCAAATAATGGAGGTTAAAAGAGAGACTATTGTGTTCAGTATTGTTCAGTATTGTTCAGTATTGAAACTGGAACAATACCCCATCTGATGTATGTATGTATGTATGTATGTAAAGATTCACATGGTGAAATAAATGTCGAAAACAGCATCACATCTTGCTAAACACACAGAGAAACCAAAGGGGCAATAGAAATAAAAATTGGGTTGAAGCGGCACAAATGTCAAACACACACACACACACACACACACGGGAGGCACATCTTGCACAACAGACGCGTGAAACTACGCAAGACAGAAACGAAAGTACAAACTGGTGTCTTAAAAATACATTTGCATTCGAACGGAGGACAATTAAGGAAAAGGGGGCTATTGAAAGGAGTCCTAAAACTGGAGAGAGTGAAAGATACCCTCGTCAGAGTAACAGACTCTGAAAGTGTGAACGTGTTAATCAATAACTATATTTGTCTAAACCCACGAGAGCCAGTGTGCAAGTGCTTGACCATACACACGACAAGGTGAGTCTAAATATAGCCCAGCATCCTCGTGAATTTCATTGCGGCAGTGAGCCGACCAAATGACTTCAGTTCCAGTTTGGGCAAAATCCGTACCGACATTGGTGCTGTTTCAGCACACGTGATGTGTGTAAACAGAAATACAGTTCTGGCGTCCGTGTGACGAAGAGACTCATGAGTGCCGTAGAGCAAACTCAATTAGCAGAGTCCCAGGGGATCGAAGTGAGCATGCCTCCAGTACGACACCACCGTATAAGTGCCTACTGTGCTTCGTGTAGCAGCGGACATGTGGACCTCTTGCGACTAAAAAGGTTAATTGGGGTGTGCGGGTAAGGAAGAGAGCAGAAGGTGTTCAGAGCACTCGACATCCTGAAAAATTCTTACACATCGTTTTTGGGTAAACGCGCATGCAAATCTTTTTCTTTTTCTCCCATCTCTCTCTCTCTCTCTCTAACGCCCCATATTTTCTCTGGTCCAGTGGCCCAAGGGAGAAAATTGATGGAGGGGGAATTTTCTTTCTAATTGGCATGGTTGAGGTGTGTAATCACTACATGCCACTGTTTGTGGGTCTATCCATGATACCATATTATAGCCACTCCCCTACTAATGAAGAGATACTATACTACATAGATCCAATATTATGGACACACTTTCACACTTGTACTGCATATGCATAATTATGTAGTCTCCTAATCAGAAGTAATCTTAGGCTTATTGGCAATTCATCTTGGATTAGACACTTTGCATACATACAAACACACACCTCTTTCCCACCCTCCTACATCCTCCCCCCCCCCACTAACCGAGGAGGACAGCCAGGAAGAAAGTGGTTGTGATTCCTCGCAGCCGTGGAGCTATTCCTCCCGCTGTAGGATACGCTCCTTTACCAGTGGAGTAGACCAGATACCTTGGAGCTCTCTTGCCTGAGAGGATCTCTGGATAGAGGAGGAGAGGAGAGGAGAGGGGAGAGGGGAGAAAGAAAAGAAGAAGAGGAAGAAGGGAAGGAAGGAAAGAGGAAGGATGGAGCGAGAGGAAAATATTGAGTTTGGAACTTTTTGCAAACACAGAAATACGAGCATGGGTAAACAGACAGATGGTCACAGGTTAGCTAAGAAGAAAGAGAATATTTACAGACAGCCTCCCCCATCAACTTATAACAAGAGACTCAGCTGCACAGTACACCACTAGCCACAAAGGACATGCTAGTAGTCACCACTAGCCACAAAGGACATGCTAGTAGTCACCACGAGCAACAGTATGCATACAATGTGAGTGAGTATTTCACATGCAAAAACCTCCATATCAAGTCTCAGTCTGAGAAGCTGTATCAGATAACTGTCTCTGAAAATGGCTCCCCAATATATAATAGGTCTAAAGCTACCGTGGGGAATATTCATGAAAAACAAGAGGGGTTATTTGCCACGTGCTGCTGTACATTATAGCTCTCCCAACGTTATGCAACCCCAGGCGTAGTACGTAGAGCCGGGTGGATACAGAGATTAATTTTACCCTGTGTCACATACCTCTGTACATTTCACTCCTTCCAAACTACATGCATATCTGGGAGGAGCTTGTAACAAAAAGGATGAAGGAATTAACAGCAACAGCCCCATCCCATTGTATATTATACTCCTCCTAAACTACATACATATCTGGGAGGAGCTTGTAACAAAAAGGATGAAGGAATTAACAGCAACAGCCCCATCCCATTGTACATTATACTCCTCCTAAACTACATAGACATCAGGAGGAGCTTGTCACAATATAAAGGATGAAGGAATTAACTCTTTATTGGCCCAAACAACCACTTGCCACTGTACACTGTACTCCTTCCAACAACTATTCGCCATAGCTCTTTGTACAAATCCGTCCCTCAGGACACACCTTGTGTTAACAAAACACACCCCGTTGCTTATCAAAGAGAAATGCATGTATATATATATAATATTATTATATATATATATATTATATATTATAATATATACCTTCCTACAAGTCTAGACATGTCGATAGTATATTCATACAGCATGAAGTTCTGTGCTAATCATTCGAGCGGAAGGAGTGCCTTTGAAAAAGTACTGCCATTGATGCTAACCGATTTAAAAACACGGCACGACAGGAGTCACCGTCTGTTATAATATAATTAGTAGCACGGCTCACTGGTCTAATGCATGGGATAAATAGTCCCGCTAGCCTTTCATGCAACAGTACGTACACATGTGCCACTCTAGCAGCAGTGTACGTACTTCGTACAGCGTGATGTATAGGTAAGTCCATACATGAAGGTATTAGACCATGTGATGCCAAGAGAAAAAAGATGCGGAGCTCTGGATGTTCACATAAGAGGGGAAGAAGAGGAAGAAGAAGTAAGGGAAGGAAGGGAAGGGAAGGGAGGGAGAGAGGGAGAGAGAAATGGGGAGGGAAGAAAGGAGAGAAGGTACGTATGTATGAGGGTGAACGAGAGGAAAATATTGAGTTTGGAACTTTTTGCAAACACAGAAATGGGAGCATGGGTAAACAGACAGATGGTCACAGGTTAGCTAAGAAGAAAGAGTATATTTACAGACAGCCTCCCCCATCAACTTATAACAAGAGACTCTGCTGCACCCGTACACCACTAGCCACAAAGGACGTGCTAGTAGTCACCACTAGCCACAAAGGACATGCTAGTAGTCACCACGAGCAACAGTATGCATACAATGTGAGTGAGTATTTCACATGCAAAAACCTCCAGATCAAGTCTCAGTCTGAGAATCTGTATCAGATAACTGTCTCTGAAAATGGCTCCCCTATAATCTTATACTTTATGCTTTGGGTTTGTACATCATGTGGACATGTGTATAAGCACATGAGAAAGAACGAGGGAAATAATGAGGGAAGGTAGGAAGGAAGGAAGGACACTGCAGATCCCATCGGGGGAATACGGGACAATGATATCGAGGAAGCTAATCCAATCAGGGGCCTGCCGGCGAGACGACATCAGAGGGAGGACAGATGAGTCCGAGTGAGAGTGGGAGAAAAATGTCCATGACTCAACAGGGCGCTACTGCCACTCCTGGGAATTGTTCCCAGGATGCTTCTCTCCCTTTGATTAATAGAGGAAGAGACACTAAGTCTAGCGTTACCACTAGCAATGGTTGTGCGGTGGGAGGCGATGTGATTTAATAAGACACCTCTAGTATTATATCTCCTGGGTGAAGGTTTTGTATCACGAAAGAATCCTAATTAGTGCACCCTCAGAGGCATGTAAACAGGATGCCTGTTGGTAGGGAGGAATGACCGATACTCATTGGCCGCATCCTGTATGGGCTAGCATGTCACAATGACAGGTTAAACCTTGTACAGCGGAAACACATACACACTCGTAATTGGCTTTATGTTCGCCTTATTGCCGAATGAGACGGTGACCATTAAAGGAAGCAAAAATCTCACTTTAGGTTGGTGTATAATTGGCGAGCGGGAGCGAATTAAACTAGCGGTCCGAACGGCGGAAATGTAAATCTACGTCGACAAACTAGGCATGCGTTTGGATTTAGTCATCTGAGAGGTAGTGTAGTGTGAAGAAAAACATTTCGGGTGTTGGTCAGCTCACTTCTGCCCTGCTAGTATACGTATACATCTTTTAGTTTCACAAACAGTGCTCTTATGCGAAATCGTTGACACCCACATTTGGGGGGACAGCAAAATTTGGCTAGATAGGGCTATAGGTGCAGCTAGATAGAAGACATTACTATTCCATACACCAACTTCACTCAAAGCATTAAGGATAGTTGGGTCGTCTCTTTTTCCGCTCATGTGCCTACGAAAAATGCGAAATCGTTGACACCTTACTACAGTGGAACTCCTAATCAGGACACCAATGGAACAGGGGAAAGTATCTATAGGTGCCCTTATTTAAGGGGTTAAATACACACAAGAAAACAGTTCTCAGGAAAAGTAGAGAGGTGTCCTCATTTTGAGGGTATTTCATAGAGAGGTGTCCTCATTTTGAGGGTATTTCATAGAGAGGTGTATATACACTTCCGCTGGCCGGCAGCTAGTGGCAATGACATAATGCCTGGGCAATTATTACCAATAAAAGCCACGGATACAGTACATATTCCTTCGAATCATGAACAGTACCTGTGCTCTATAGTAGACAGTTAGTGAAATATTGCCGTCAATACTCGGTAAAGCCATAGACTTCTAGCCATAGTTCCAATCAGAGAGGCACATATGTTACATATGCTTTTAAACATGAACTACAAGTCAAAAGATATTTAAGCACGGGGTTGAAGTTCGGTGCAGTTTTTGCTCAAAACATCTCCCAATAAAATGTAATGTGGGCACTACACTAAATACAAAGACAATCGATGCACATGCGGCTGTTTAAAAAGCACTCGTATACTTTCCAGGCAAACATGAAGGAATGCAGTGCTAACTACGCAAACCTCAGCACAGCCCCCAAGCAGGAGACATTGAAACAGCACTTGGTGGTGTCATCAATTCTTTAGGTGTACTCTCCACCTAAAACAGCTCTATTTTCACATTCTGAGCATATTGAGTGGCTAGACTTTCACAGGGGGCATTATTAGCAACTTGACCCCCATTTAACAAAAAGGAAGTCTACACTAGTATTTTATGACCTGAAACAACAGTTTCACATGCTAAGTCTGTAACGATATTCATTGGTCATAGGCTGAAAGTAGCCTGGGAGTTCAGCCTTTGTACTATAAGGATCCCTGGGAGAACATGGGTGTAGTGAAAGTGTGCATTTTTCTGTCAGAGGAAATATGGTGATTGATTGGTGCTATAATGGTCTGAAATGACCTCACCATCCATAGAGTGACCAGATAGTAATAATGCTGGATTCCTGGAGAACTATATTAGGTATATACACTGTGAAAGAACACGTGCAATGATATCTTAATAGAAAGATAGGTGTAGATTTACGCAGGGTTGCATTTATGATCTTTTCTGGGAGGGTGGGGAAGTTGCATTCACAACACAAATGCATTGCACAAAGACCTTTTATTGTCAGCTATGAAATGTGCATCTCGAACAGGTTGAAAATGCAGCTGCTAATATTCTGGCAAATTTGATCGATCTGCCAAACAACCAAATGACCACCAAACTTTCTGGTTATGATGCGGCATCCCATGGAATCCATCCTATTCCTAGTCAACACAGGTTAGCATGTATTAGTTAATGTCCCACTTCAGTCTGAACAACCCTATATATCCCATATAGGTTATAAACCATGGTCTATGACACAATATTGGTATGTTCAAGTTAGGAGTTTGTGCCAAGACTGTACATTTTAGCCAAGATTGATGTTATACAGTGTGTGAAACTGAAACACAAAATAATCGAGTTGGCTATGGGCTAGGGTAGCAGGTCCTCTCCTTACCTTGATGCAGTTTCTCGTATTCAACCAGCCAGTGGCCGCACATGTACTTCCGGTCCTCTGGATATATGGCAGGGTTGAGTGGGTTGATGGGATACATGTCCAGGCCGTCTGGGAGGGAGGGTGGGAGAGGGGGTAGGAGGGAGAACGATAACAACATGTGTCCGTAAGAAGTTGTTGGCTAGAACGAATGCAGTGCGCTCTTGGCGAGCAAGCAAGAGCAGTCCATAAACCACAACTGTTCTATGTGGCAATACACGCCATTGGATATATCAATTCAGCAATTCAGACTACTAAATGGACTCACTCGACTCACACATTAAACTGTGAAGGCATAATGTATCGGTATTTTTGTGTGTCAAACTTGCGGGGAGTAAAACTTCATTGGTCCCCTCTATTTTGGTCCCCCCATTTCAGGGGGTCACAGAACACTCACTTGGTCCCCCATATTTCTCGGGGTCAAACTTGCAGGGGGTCTCGCAGACGGACTCCTCGATTCGGTTGAGGGGACAGAGCTCTGAGGTCTGGCAGATGAACTTGTAGAGAGCCCTGCGATATTGCCGGCCCCTCCCGCACGCCTTGCTACAGGGAGACCACTCGGACCAGGTGAACGGAGGACACACCGTCTTACACTGTGGCACAGGAGAGGAGAGGGAGAGAGGGGGGATACAGCATTGCCCACCCTATTCAGACATTCATTTCATAATCCAAGCCTTAGTGCTATAAAGGTTTCTTGAATTATGAAATCAATGTCTGAATAGATACCTCCTAGTATCATAATCGTTTGTTTGATGTTGCATTCCACAGATGAGTGTGTTTTATGCTGTTGTTTAGCAGCTGTGCAGCGACAGCATAAAACACACTCATCTGTGGAGTGCAACATCAAGCAAACGATTATGATACTAGGAGGTCTTTACTCTTCCCCTTTATAACAGGGGCCCCCTTTCATCGCATTAGAGAGACTCATTCTCTCAAATTCTGCTTTGTAAACTTACCATCTCACCACTCTCAATTGCTTTGGCCATCTCTACAGCACTAATATGCTTCTCTTCTTCCCCTCCCCCTTCTCCATCTCTTTCTCCTCCTCCTTCTCCTTTCGCCCCTCCTCCAGGTACACTTTCCTTCTGCACACCCCTCACACCCCCACCAGGGGCACCACCGTCAACCTTTTCCCCCATCTCTTTAGTCACAGCCCCGTCCTTACCAACTACCACTTTAGGTTTACGTCTTGCAAAGGCCCCAGGAGGGAGAGAGGGTGGGGCACTGGTTCCTTCTGTAGGCAGGTTCCTTTCGGTGACTATTCTTGTTTGAGATCCTTTAACTTTAGGTTTCACACCGATTGAGTCACTGACAGCATCAGCTGGACCGGAGTCACTGGTGGATGGTGACATACTGGGTTTAGCCTTCGTTTTTACCACGACCCCCGCCTTACCTGCCGGACCAGGCAACTGATTACCTTCTTCTAGTCCAACCTCCTCCGCTTCCCTCTTCTGTACCACACCTGCCACCACCTCATGAGCCATGGGTTTGTTAGCTGCCACCACACCCTCACGAGCCATGGGTCTGTTAGAGTCAATCTTCTCTAGACCCACTCCTTGCTCATCTGTTCTGATGAATGCTCCGTCATTTTCCACAGTGGTCGCGAGATTTTCGTTGCTATCCACCGCAAGGGGTTTTTCAATCTCACGGGGCCTCCCGTCATTCTCCAGTGATTTGCCCTCGGATCTCATCTCCTCATCTGACTTGACATCCCTCTGTGTCTCCTTCTCTTCACCGACTCCATTCACACCTGTGTCTCTGGCGTTTGATTCAGGAGGCAATTCAACCTGTGTTCTCTGGTTCTCCTCTCTCTCAGGTTTATTCCTGTCGACCATTGGTTGCTCGAGGACAGAGTCTTGTCCCTCTGCTGGTGGATCACTCTTTCCACCTTTGATTTTGCGGTGAAGCACAGGGTTCTGCTGCTTTACCTCCTGCATTATAATGTATGGATAAACTCTCAGCCTTCAGCTAAAGTGACAACATTCGTCCACTATTATATCATTTGTATAGTGGCGCCTTTTGTGAATTTATATTCTCAGTGAAACATTAGCAATATACATACAGGAACCTCTTATACAGTAAAAAACAAGCATTCCGTGAAAGACTTCTTTGTGCTTCTCTTCTTAATTAATACGTATGTTATAATGCACACTCTACAGCGAACCATATACACCAGTGGTTCATACTCATACCACGCGATGTATAAGTGTGCTTTGATATGGAAACTCACATAGTCCCTTGGGATCTCAAACTCCTCCCTAACCCTCTGAAGCCCATCCTCTCCCCCCTCCCCACATCTCCCTGTACCAGGGATACAGGCGCCATTCAACACCAGTAGAGATATGGCAGCAGAGAGCAGTAGGACCACTAGGAGCTTGGCCAGCCGCCTCTTTCTCCCCCTCAGAGGCAACAGATTGAACACTGCCCGCCAACACTGCCTCAGCGGGCCCATCACTCCTACAATCACACTGGTCTACGGGTACTTTCGTCGTTTTTGGGTCTCTCCACTCGAAGTGATGCAGCTGACGGAGTTGTCTGGGCCCCCAACTAATGGTTTGAGGTGTTTGGGTCCACCATAGCAACGCCAGGCGGTGCATGGAGTGGCATGTCGCGGCAGGAATCCATCGCATTCCTCACTGGCTTCTCTGAAAACGCCGCCATTAGCAAATTCCACTGCGCATGCGCAAATCACACACTACTGCGCATGTGCACTCTCTCCCAGAGCCTAAAGACTCTACATGGATATAATTATTGTGAGCAGGACAATTTTTGAGCATCTCAATTTTGTACAAGCCTTTGCAGCTTTATTTCCACTGCCACAACACTGCGAATAAGAACTGGTATATACAACACGAGTTGCATTGAGGGGTACAAGATGCAAACCATTGCCCTTTTTGCTGGAGTAGCATTCCATGTCATCACCTGCTAAACACTATAATACACTAGCCTTTACTCAAAGGAGCAAGTGGAAATACTAAGTATAAGCTCGTTTGACTTGCCTAGAGTGCAACTGCGTATACTATTGAGAGTGGATTGGCTCACTGAATGCTCATGGAAGCGGACAGAAGCGGTGAGTAGTCAGCATATAACTGTAGTCCTTTGACTTTAAATGCTAAAGCTAGCTACTTAGTGTAGTGTCGTTCTGTCACAGAATATGAGACGCTGTCCGATTCAAAAGGTAGCGAAGAGCTGACCCTTGAGGTACTGAGTAGTGATCTTTTAACCCATCCACCAACTGGGGAGTATTATTGCAGGATTTATCTGACATCTACACCAACTGCGATGATGACAGTACCGAACAGCCAGACAATCACTTGAGGATGTCCTTTCTGGCTTTACTCTGCTGCTTTCCATGTGGCATTGTTGCTCTCTGCAGTGCCTTAAAGGTAGACAGTTTAATTCTGGCTGTAAATAGCCATTAATTTTAAGGATTAGCCAAACCACAATAACAGTGGCACTGGTCTATCGTATGTTCTGCAGGTAAACAGACTGCTGTCGAGAGGAAAACTGAAAGACGCTCTCAAGTCGTCTAAGAAGGCTGAACTCTACTCTATGAGAGCGTTCTCGTGCATAATGCTGTTCGTTGTGTGCCAGCTACTGCTGCTCCTGAGTGGTCTTGTTCTTCTCATATGCTTTGCCTTTGACTGCATTAAGACTAGCTGTCACTGGTAGCAACCTGTCAACTGTTTTTTAATATCAGTGGTTTTGTTAATTCTCTGATATCAAGTTCAGTGAAATCTGCGACACCTTGGGGACATCAATAGTGTCCTTTATGCAGAAGTGTCCTTTGTTATATAGCTACTAGCAGAGCAGAGTGTCCTGTTTAGAGGGTCCTCTTTCGGAGGTTCCATTGTAGTTTCTTCTGTCTGTCTCATCCTTTTTTATTGGTGTGGGAGTCTGACTTATGAACTCCCGTTGTGAAAAGCAGAGTAAACTCTGGAACCTGTTTAGTTCTCACTGAGCAATTAATATTATAACCAAATCACAATGGGATGCTGCTACCCCTTCCTCCGCATGTATTTATCAATGACTTGCAAATGTTTGGAAATTCACCCCTGAGAGTTAAAAAAAAACTGCTCAACACTTTGGCATATTTGCTGCCCTTGTCTACGAACATGACGTGTGACTTGTTCATCCGACAAAGAGCTCTGAACAGCTGCCAAGTTGTGTGCTTACATCAGTTCCAGTCAGCTAAGTCAGGGCCATATTTGGCTCTCATCTGTCTTGCCATTGCCTCAGTACATGCTGTTTGTGCCTCGAGATTGACAGTGCTGGAATAGACACAGGCTGGTCTATATTTGATACTCTCTCTTTTCTACAGTCAGGTAAATAGTGTATAGATAGAGGAGTTTAGTCTAGCAATTGTTCTAAACTATAGCATAGTTGGGATCTAGCTGTGTTTCAATTAAGTACAAGATTGTGATAGCTACAATTGATGCTCTGAGTGAACCTGTATCCTATTTGTATCCTTCCAATATGCCAACATCCCCTGAAAACACACGTAATGGTTATATTCAGAGCTCCGAACAGCTACGTGTTACACGAGTTCTAGTCGTCATATTCGCCACTGTCAGTCTATCTACAGGTAAATGTCCAGTGATAGCTTGTTAGATGCTTTTTCATACTTTGCTCATAGTAGCACCTAGCTATATTCATGATGTCAACATCTCCAACTGAAAAACACTTTGGGGTACGTGATATATACAGTGCAATGTTAGAGCAATTCAAGGTATGGATGCTCTTGTTGTCACAGATCAATGAGCCTCTGTTTCACAAGGTAGCAGTGCCAGACAGCTACCTGCTGAGGTCTCTAGTGGCGGCTCTACTCTGTTTCCCCATTGGCATTATTGCCCTCTATCACAGTCTCAAGGTAGCCATCACATGATATTGTTCAGATGAGTAGTGCAAGTTGTAGTTGTTGAATAGCAGTCAGTTAAAAGAGATTACACAACTAAACTGCAGGTGAACCATCTCCACCAGAGAGGAAAAGAAGAGGAGGCAAAGAGAGCTGCTTTGCATGCTGTCACCTATGCCAGTTGGGCGTTCCTCGGGGCAGTGATAACTGTGGCCGTCTCAGTCTGCCTGCTGGCTGCTGGCATCACCTTCTTGATATGTTTCGGCATTGACTGGGAGAAGCGATAGTCCCTAGACTGTAGGGATGATGTGTATAGTAGTACCGGTGCATGATTTGCGCATGCGCCGTATTTTTATTTGCAGCGGCGCTGGGGGGAGCACGCGCGGTCATTAGTGACGACATCTGAGTAGGGATTATTATATATATACGACCCTTTACCTCAACACGTAGCGAACTGCTTCCAAACTGCTGTATTTGCAAGCTCAGTTTTGGAATATTTTACGCCCCAACTCCTAGAAAGACGATGGATATTGAACTACAGGAGGTATGTACGTTTATAGCTGCAGAGCATTTATGCAGCCTAAAACACTTCCGATGTCACGTCAGACTGTTGCATCCTACAGCGAGCCGGTGGAAGGAGACTCAAACGGAGACCAGAGGATAGTTCAGAATTCTTGCTTGGGTTCCCTCACAGACGAGCTCTGATTGCACTGGCTCTCTTTTTCCCCACCGGAATCTTTGCTCTCTTCTACTCCATAAAGGTTTGATAGCTATAGCTATAGCCTTGCTCACTGCATTGTGTATTACTGCAATATTATCCACACAAAATACTATACCTAGAACTGTTTAGCTATCGCTTTGTTCAAAACTGAAACTCAAGAGTTTTGTTTCAAAACAATCCTAAGTAGTTTACTGTTCATTAGGAGAGTCAGCATATCTCAGAAGGAAGCGTGGAAGAAGCTCAGAAGGCAGCTGAGAGGGCAGAGAAATTCATAATCATCAGCAACAGAACTGGAGTGGCGGTGCTCTTCACTCTGGCTCTATCTCTAATTGCAGCTGTCGTGTTTCTTATCTGCAATTCCATAGGCGAAGCACATGTTGGAGACCGTTTCTAAATGTTTCTCTCCCAAAAATAATTATACCTAATCGACTATATTATAATGATCATTCAGCTACGTAAAGTTTTGATAGGACGTAGAATAACGTACTCCCACACATGCTGAGTGGACAAAAGGGGTCTTTCCGATCTGTGCTAAACGTGAGTGTATAGTATAGCTATTTTTTCAGAGAGCAGTAGCAACGAGACCAGCTACCAAACAGTAGACAACTTGTAGTTGAGCGGATCGCCGAAGTGTCGTGTACGCATGCGCAATGTCGACAGAGAGTCTCGACACGGCCGGTGGTCTCCACGTGCCCCTGTTGGTGAGTTAATAACCACCCCAACCCTCCAATCGTTGGTTTGCTTCGTCCCTCGTTTGCAGAGCGTGGTCACCAAGCCATCCAAAGCCGAGGAGAGGTGTAGAAGACGCCGGTTGGCCGGGAGAGAGCGACACTTTCTGGAGAGAGTCACTGCTTGCTACTCTCTGCTTCTTTCCACTTGGTCTCATTGCCCTGTGTGCCTCTCTGGAGGTCTGATGCTATAGTATTTGTAGTCTGGTATGCATCTTAGAGCTGAGTCACATCAATCACTTAGAGCTATTACCTTGCGAGTATTGAATATGCATTAGGCAGGCTTTATATATATATTATATACACAACATTGTGGGGGTTTCATTAACCCTTTCTGTTTTACATCTACATGGACTTATTCACTTTCTTACGTGGCTGATATTCTCAGGTCACCCATTGGAACAATGAGGGAAACTTTGGCAGAGCCAAGAGCGCATCTCGCCGTGCCGAGTCCCTAGTCAAGTTGACATACGGGTTCTCGACTGTGTTCTATGTCATTCTGGGGCTGTTGTTCCTTGCTCTCATCGTGGGCGGGATTGTAGTTGGAATTGACTGGGAACACACAAAAACTCACTAATCACTACTCAACCACACAGTTACATAGCTATGTACCAACTGTGACAACTTGCTCACAGTTTCTCCCCCATTCATGATGTTCCATTGAAAATGATGATCAGTCCAGGGCTGTATTATAGTAGTAAGGTGTTTCGCATGTGCTGTTCAGAGCAATGTAGGAGTCAGCAGTGTCATATCAATGAGTGACATTACCAATCAACTATCATAACAGAGGGATCAACATACTTCTGTGTCAGTTTTAAGAATCGTCGTGCATAGAGGAGTGTGGTTACAACTGCATGTGACTACTTACTAGTATTGCGTGACAGACCTATAGTGTGAGGGAAATGGAAGATGGCGAAGGTCAGCTGCTGAGGGATGGAAACAAACCAAGCTTTGTCCAGAAGGTATATACTAGCTCTATATAATGAAAAGCACTGAAGTGCAAACCCTCGGCGCATTGTGACGCGCACGCGTAAGTAAACGCATGCGCCGTACCACTAATTGATGGGCTGGGTTTAGTTTTAGCTGTTACTCGTGGTCTCTTCCCAGCTCGCGCAGAGTCTGACGCGGGCTAACTACACTACTAGATAGCATGCGAGAGGCGATACACGCCCTGCGTTGCATCTTCTGGTGCCTCTGAGGTACGCAGAGCACGCGGATCGATCAGACCGTGGTAAGCCGTCCCTCCGTTGCCTATTTGCATATTAGCTTTTTCGCGCTCTAGCTCTGCAACGGAGCAGTTTCAGAGAAAACCCCACATATTTTCTGACCTTCATTGCCCGTTCAGTAGGTGGTATCCTTTGTGAGACGAACGAACACTCGAGAAGTGAGATGACGAGTAACAGACAGACACACACACACACAGACAGACAAACCCAACTACCGTAACCCTCGCTGCGCATGCGCGCCGAGGGTTAATTATGTAGCTACTGCCACACACTTGAGGACTAGAGAAGTAGCACGTGTGTGTACAATATCTTTGTGTATATATATAGCATTCAGTGAATGGTGATGATACGACGCAGCCAGAGGACTACAGAACTGCTGCACTAATAGCAGTACTATGTTTCCTACCCACTGGACTACTCTCCATCTGCTACTCCTGGAAGGTGAGCTGTCATAACAAAGTTGCTGCAGATTTGTATGCACGGCGCAGAGTATATAGCTACTGTATTATAGCCAAGTGCAAGATGGTGCACAGCTAGATCTTTAATTTCTCCCTCAGGTTCAGCGGCTCTATAGAGAAGGAGACGTGGTCGGGTCGGAGTGTGCCTCGCGGAGGACTCGCCGGCTAGTCATCCTCACACGCAGGATCTCAATGGTCTTCTGGCTCGGTCTGCTCCTGCTTGTAGCGGCCGGCCTCTTGCTGGGCCTCTGCTTCGGCATCGACGCAAATAAACAGTAACATGCATGTAGCATGCACTTAGCTATCTATACGGTAGCTTGTGTAGATGTTGTTGTTGTTGTTGTTGTTGTTTCGCTACGCCCACGCACGCGTGCGCGATGCTTGCGGCCGCGCGGATACATGCTAACCGACCGGGCCGCGCACACATTCCTGCACTCAGGAAGAAGCCTCTGGGAAGCAAATGTAGCAGCTTCAGTTCCTCGATCCACTGCATTGTTGCCGGACGTTCACGTGGCGGTGTAGGGGCCCACGCAGTATATTGTTCCTACGTAGCCTAAACCAGCCGTCACTGCCGGCCCTGTCGTCAGATCTCAGAGTCGAGAGGTAGCTAGCTAGATATGCAGAGGCTGTTCCAGAGACCGGGTGTGGCGACACAGCACAGCCAGGGCTCCAGCAGCAACTTCAGCTCTAACCCTTCTTTCGACCGAAACGACGCGTCCGAAGACGACAAAGACCCCGGCGCAGCTCTCAACAGATGCCGGTCGGACGCATCACCGCAGCCGGACTCCCTCTGCCGCGTCTCCAGGGCCGGTCTAGCTATCGCTTTCACGGAGATCCCGGCTCCCAGCCAGCTGCGGGACTCGGGGTACGTGGAAATGGCCTTCACCCACATCCCTGATGATCACCAGACTGAGTCCTTTGATCAACAACAGCAGCAGTCTTCTTCTCTGTCTAGTGAGCACAAGTTTCGAGGTCTACTGCAGCTGAGCAGAAGAGCCACCGAGTCACGTGAGATGCTCCAACAGCAGCCGTCCTGGTCCTCCGATGTCATCCCGTCTTCGTCGTTGGAATCGGCCACAAGTAACTTTTCCACGGATTCGTCCAACAACTCCCCCAGTCTGGGATCGGGTGTAGGGAGCAACCTCTCTCTACTGCCGTCTGCGTCTCCATTAGGACTAGGAATAGACACCTTCCGTACCTATTCCCCCCTGGAGACCCAACCACTCACTCTGCCCGAGATTGAGGTACGTCCCCCGTCGTCACTTCCACTACCAACAATCACCCTCCTAATTAGCAAAATGCTTAAATTTATACTCCCCAATCAATTTGTGGGTCAGCGCCAAAATATGCTTTCTTGGAATAAGCTCTACATGCCTGTCTACTGCCCAAAGATAGCAAGCTAGTTTCATGTAAATCCTTTAGTCAAAATGCTTAGCATTGGCACAACAATAGTTATAGGTTGCATTATGCATGCTGGCAGTTAGCTGCAAATAGTGCAAAACCCGTGGAACGCTGTGATAGTGCCACAATCAGGTAATGTTTATATACAACAGCAAAGATTGGGACCCTTGTCTTCCCCATACTCTAGAGCCTCTATTTACAAGGAGTTGACAACAGCATCCACTACAGCTAGCTAAATACCTCTGATCTCACTCACACAATATCCAATGTCCAGTGGTAGTAAAATACCCCAGGATGAAGTCCTATAATAAGTCTTTCCACCCATGTCACCCACAGTACGAAAGGAGGGGAAAAAACACCACACCTTCGTGCATCATATAGCATCACTTAGTCTTTGCTAAATCAAACCGCTGTATATATACGCCTCTTCTTTCTGCAGGTTAATGAAAACCTTGTACCAGGCCCAAAGACCTACTTTGCACTGGCCCTGTGCTCTACCATCTTATGTTGCCTCCCGGTTGGAGTGCTAGCATTGATCAGCGCACAACAGGTATATAGTATGTAGCATTAGTAGGAAAATGCTGTCTCATGCCAGAATGTTATTATTATGCAGGTTCGGAGGCGTTTGGCTGAGAGGGACAGGCACAGAGCATTCCTGTCATCGCAAAGAGCCAAGAGAAGATCACTTTTGGCAATACTAGTCGGGACAATGATGTGGACATTTGTGGTAGTCACACTATCAGTAACTCTAGTATTACGTTTAAAGCCATAGCGTGTTGATGTTCTCCCATTTCGCTAAATCAATATTTTCATCTTTTCATCTCTGTCTTTCACTTCAATCGTATCATTTTGTGGTAACGCTACAGACATAAGTACATCTAGAGGACGCAGGCTTTTAAAAGTCAGTTTAGTATGGTGAGGTCAACGCACCATCAATAATGGTCTAGTCAGTCACCATAGTGTTCCAAACCAGGCTCAGGATAAGACGAGGAGGAATATGACTCCAAAAATTAGAAAGAGTAAAAAGAGTACAAGTGTCAAGAGAGGGTTGGAGCGAAGTAGGTACATCGCCAACTTTGTATATCTGCATACGCAAGTGATAAGAGGTTAATGACTCCCTATAATATTGTGGAACCTCTGAAAAAGGACATATTACACCGCCGCGCCCATTAAAAATATAGGTGTCCCTTATTGATAAAACACTAAAGCAAAAGATATATGTATATATGTAGCAACAAGTTTCCTTCGTAGAGAGGTGTCCTATATTCAGAGTGTCCATTTTGAGCAGTTTTAATATGTTTTGGTTTGGAGACATAGTATTGCACATAATGACACCTTTTGAAAGGAGAAGCAGCAAAAAGGACGGCGGTATTGGGCTTGGACTGGTGTCTTCTGTCCTTGGGTATGTGGGCCTTCACCACTAGGTGGTCCACAGGTATTGCCTCCGTCAGTAGAAACTGCTTCAACGCTGCATGCATTGTACACATGTACAACGAAGAATTCAGTAGATTTGACATTAGACACGGTGAGAAATTGGATTGGGAGATGAGGTGGTACAGGGCTACATGTATACCTGACTCCTCGCTGGCTGGCAATCCCCGTGGGGCCTCGATGAATAGCCACGCCTCCTCTTTGTGGGGAAGATACGCTGCAAACGTCACCACACTACACCTGTCCAGTACCTGGGAACATAAAGTATTGTACATAACACGTGAGACAATACAATCATGAGCATTAGATGTCCCAATGCTTAAGTATGTCTGCATAAATATGTGCCATACCCATTGAAGCCACTTCAGGCCAATTAATTTTACTATGGATTCCTAAAAATACTTCAGTGAGGCTCAAAGAATAGAGTTATGTACCTTTTGTTCCACAACCGTAGACCAGAAGGTCTTTCCGTTTCTCTCCACCCTCCATTTGACTCTGCCCACCAGCCACAGTCTCCCCTCCCGGTCCATGTAGCCGGCGTCCTCGATACGCAGCCACACCCTCCCCTCCACATCCCTCACCAGTCGCTTCTCCTCCACCTGAAACAACAAGTATTGAGTAAAGCGAGAGAGAGGGGAGAAGGGGTGAACTGGACCTGGTGAGTGTTAACATGCCATCCTGACACCACTATCTCCCCAATTTCTCCACGGGGCATCTCCAGTGTAGAAATATCAACTGGCTCCTTCGGTGGCTCTGAGTGATACAAAACTGCACTATGAACCTGGCAATACAAGAGAACGTACAGTGGAACTTCTTTAAAGGGGCACTTGTCTCGATCAAATGCTAATACTTTTCGTGTAACCTCTTAACAAAGGACACCTCTGTATAAAGGACAATTTTCACGCTACCAGAGGTTCAACTGTATCAACCTACCACTCAGTATCCCAATAACTCTGGCAGAGTCCTCGAACACAGGTCTACCGATGCAGTGACCGTCTGGTTTCTCAGCCTCCAGCTGCAGTTTCTCCTCTGCAAATATCACGCTCACAGGCTCCACCTCCGTCGACCCGTACAATACCACAGCCTTCTTCTCGGGCGTGACTGACGCAATGGTTCGGAACATTCCTCTGTAGACGGGTGCCCCGCCCATACTCGTGACCTTCACGGGGAGCGAAATTCCAAGTTTTGCAGCGTGACACGCCAATTTGTAGGTGAAAGCAGGGGATCCCCCGATAAACGTGACTCCGTACTTCTTGATGCTTTCTAAAATCTTGGCCGGCTGGATTTTGTTGAGATTGGGAAACACCAGGCACGTCGCTCCAATCTGTGCATGCCAAACATACACATAGATACGTAGCTGTGTAGCTTTTTTCAAGGGGAAATTGTCATGACCATTATAATTTTCTCCGCAAATATTTGCGGCTGGGGACAATTCTAGAGCGATCTGTTCATTTTCACTGAATCAAACCCTTCATTATGACAAGCACTCCATTACCTATGTATAAAGGGTGAAATAGGTTCATTCCCCAAAACAAACCGTGATAAAGTGGAGGCCAAAGAGTGGGAGATTGGTGCAGTAGACACCGTCTGTCTCGGAAATTCCCACGCGGTCCTTCATCTCTTTAGCATAGCTGTGAGACATACTGCGACCCTGGTTCCTGAGGAAACTGTCAGAGAGACAGAGAGGGGGTGGGGGGGGAGGGAGATGAGAGAAATGATCTCTCAGTCGGACACGAGCAGCCTGAAATATTACATGCACACACTACTCTAATACACAATGTTGGTAAAGAACAGTATTGAACCACACACACAATTCTTCACAGGTTCACAAAGGCTAGCAAAATGCCATGCACACGTGGCAATATCTAAGCGGAGCCAGTATTTTGTATACATCTTATAATGATTTTGGGTGTACATAATTTAAACTTTGTGAATTTACTTTTTGCAACATTAAAATATTACTTGTGCTGTCTGAGCATGAGTTTAGGAAGGCCGGTGCTGCCGGTAGTGAAGGTGACGAGGGCATTCTCAACAGGGACACAGTCCTGGGGTTCCACCAGCTCCACCACACGACCACTCCCCAGTAGCACCTTGTCCCCCTGGCCACCAGAGGATGCCGACTTGGTGGCAGCTAGACTGTCCACCTCAATTTGGATCGAAATGCCCCGTAGAGCAGGGGCCAGGAACTGTGCATGAAAATATACAGCAAGAAAAATGGAGCACATTAGTTGAAAACTATAATGGAGAAAGTCCCAACCCCTTCTGATGTAACTCTTCACATCATACATATATACTAGAACCGAGAATTGGGGCAATGAGTCAATGATGGCTTAGTCAAGACATTTAGGTGAATAACACCAGCTACAGTTTATCGTGTGTGCAACAAAGTTGTAATGTGTCAGTCCACAGTGTATTTCCAGGGATTCTATTAAATTCCTTCAAGTGGTATATATATATTGGCTGTGCTATATATTGGTTGCAGTGCTCCCTCCCTCCCTATCATCCTCCCACGATAATGAAGCATACCTTCAGATACTTGAACCATGATCCAGCAGGCATCAACCACGCCGATGGTCCGGCAATCTTGATGCAGTGGTTGGCCCTCTCGAGTCCCATGGACGGGTCCAGGATCACCAGACACCCTCCTGTGTGCAGTCACACACCAGAATCATGGATATTGCACAGTCACCAATGTTAAGAACCAAATAGTGAGGTATATCCTTATTTCAAGGCCTAAATTGTATGCAAGAAACTTGCAAGACTCTTAGAAAGGTGTCCTTAATAGAGAGGTGTCTTCATTGCCCTTAGGGAGTGTATTTTCTGTTCACCTACGGAGAGCGTTGCAACTGTCAGGGCAAAGAAGTCTACTGAAGGCACCATTGTGATGAGAACGCGGTCTCCGGGCACCACGCCCCTCGCACGCAGCAGGTAGACGGCCGCAGATATCCTCTGGTGCATTTGGAGCCCCGTCACTAGGTCTCCGTCAATCACCTGCATGAACAGAGCGGCAGCAGATGCGTACGTTTTTGAACGCATAACCCTCTTACCAGCACCGTTTTCTCGCGGTTTTTCTTGCAACTTTCCAGCACGTGGTAAGCATAGTTAGAGTTCGCCTCCCCTGCTCCTGTAGTGTCCTCCTGAGCTGGAGCCATCGTCGCTCTGTTTCTCTTCTTTCTATACCCAAGCGCATGCGCAGAATGTCTAAGGGTCAAAAGTCACGGTGGTGCTGAGTCGACAGTGCGCTTTAATTGGAGTTCATTGGCCATGCCGAAGAAGCATGGAAAGAGAACCGGGAGAAAGGGAGAGAGGGAGCCAAAGGAGCACAGTCTCACAGACGTAAACAGAGGGAGGACAAACTTGAGCACCGAGACGGACAGTGAGTGCTATACTGGAAGCACTTATAGTGTCGCGAAGCCGTATAAAGAAGAGAGGGTCTGGCTCCGCGAGACTAGCTACAGCTTCTCTCTCTCTCTCTTAGAGAAATTGAGGCTGAAGATGCAGGCATCTGTCCACCAATAAAAGGTGAGTTAGTCAAGTCTAACATAGTGTTTATCAACTGACCACCAAAATTTACCACTCACCGATCACAAAAGATCTTCCCAGCATCGACCTGGCTATGTGGGTGAGTGTTGGTTGATGTAATCATTCACACCCACCACTGGCTTGTCTCTGAAGGACTTGGGTCACTGTGATCCAAAGAAGTGTTCCGGGAGGAGGCTGGTCAGGAAAGGTTTCGTTCGCCAACTCTCCCTGGGGCAGCGGTTCCGTGGTGTTGTTCTGTCACCAGATGCCCAACTCTCCCTCTCTCCTGCTGACAGAGAGGTGGTTGCGTCGTGCGGCGTGGCCGTCATCGACTGCTCGTGGGCAAAACTCGAGGAGACCCCGTTTTCCAAGATGAGAGGGGCTCACCCTCGCCTCCTCCCGTTTCTCGTGGCCGCCAATCCCATCAACTATGGACGGCCGTGTAAACTGTCGTGTGTGGAAGCCTTTGCTTCTGCTCTTATCATAACTGGTCAGTTTTTCAGGTCGAGTAATCTGCGCTGTATGGTATCATACCGTCTTTTGTCTGTTTTAACCCTCATGCAACTAAGAAGAACTGATGTTGTAAACTGCAGAATATTCAATGCACAGTTTTTTTTTGTGGGTAGCAGCGCATTCAGTGTCTGATCCACACACCGCTTTATAGAGCATTGCAGAGAATGACTGTAAAAGGAGGAAGTTGGCCATCTGCATTAATACAGGGCTTTTGATATGTGAGCCAGCCCTGTAATGTGGTAGCTTTGTATTCTAACTCTTGCAAGGAAAGAGATAAGTATACTGTATAAAACCCTCCTTCACTGATGGACACACACACACACACACACACACGTGACTGTAGGTTTCAGAGAGCTTGCAGAGAGGGTGTTAACCGTCTACTTCAAATGGGGCCACGGATTTCTCTCTCTCAACAGGTATTCTGTATGCAATTCATGAATGTGAACTCTTGACGCTTGAAATTAAGTGCACGTGAGCCGATTTGTACAGAGGTGATAGGCAATCCAAGCACATTTTCTCAGAAAGTTTCCCACACTAGTGGTTGCTTGTTCGTAGAGCTGCCAGTGATAAATGTCTTGAACTGTTGTATATATGTACATCTCAGCTATTGAGCATATCCACTTAGTCACATTGTTATCACATTGACATACATGCCCAAGATGGGATCTACGTTAATTTGTGCAGCGATAGTCTAGAGTTGGTATGCGCCTAATGAGGCTACGTTTGAAACTCGTGCAGTGATCTTTTAGAGGCATACTCGAGGTGTGTTGACGGGTGTGAGGTGGTTAGAGTCCAGCAAAGGTGGCTGGAGGAGGCACATCGAGAGAGACAGTCTCAGAGAGAAAGTGAGCACATTTTCGTTTCTGTGGGTGGTGTGTATTATACTGTGTAGGGGGGATCTTTTGGGGGGAGAACCTTGCGAATTTGGCAGCTTCGGGCCAACTTGAAAAAAGGGTGGTGTGTTCAAAGGAGTATTTTTAGTTGACCTGGTCAATGAAGAATACACAGGAAACACCAACTTTTGACCCGAGTCAGAACTCAGGCATCACGACTGAAAGTCCAGTACAACTAAGCACTGAGCTACAGCTCCCAGAAAAAAGCCAGTCTTCTCCATTCCCTCTACCTACCACCTGCCAGTGGTTGTTGCCTATCTGGCAACTTTGTATAATACTGGCTGGGATTTTTTGGGCAGGGACCAATTTTGTGGAGTGGGAAACGATTCTAGTTGCCAGCAAATTGCGAATGTTTTTTTTTCTATGGCTAGTGGTTTGGGACTCACTTCTGTTGGAAATCAAAGAGAGTGTAAAGTTTTGTTTTTCTTTCAGTTGACTACCCACCTAGTGAGGAGGAAGAGGAGGATGAAGAAGAGGGAGGAGTGTGTGGGGGAGAGGGAGAAGAGGGGGAGGGTGGGGGAGAGGGAGAAGAGGGGGAGATGGGGGAGAGGGAGAAGAAGGGGAGGGTGGGGGAGAGGGAGAAGAGGGGGAGGGTGGGGGAGACGGATATAAGGGGATTCAGAGAGAAGGAAAGACCAATAATTGTGGACTGGAAAGACAGAGAGGGAAGGAGGACCCTAATGAATGTTAGGTCAGCCGCTCAGCTGTTTGATGAAGTCACAGCAGACACACCAGACAGTGAAATGCCTGTGGCTTGGCAGACAGTCTGGGTCTCCAGTAGAGCCCAACCTTTGGCACCCTGACCCCACATTAGCACTAAACTTTCCTGTGAAATTTTTCCCTCTGACCTCCTGTTCTAGGTAGTCAGCATCCACATCTATTGTGTTTTGTGTTCTGTTGGTTCTTGTAAACACAGTTTCCACCTTTTTTGGAGTGTAAAACGATCTGTCTGTGTGAGTTCTTTGCCAAATATGCGCATGCGTAATCCAATTAGCGCACGCGCATTTGCGGTAACGCAAATTTTTCAGCTGAGCTGGCCCCGGCAAGACGACGTGCTGTTGACAGTGACTCTCCTTCCTTTATATCGGACTTTACTCATCGTCTCTGTATTCCGACTCACTCGTTGTCTAAACCCAAGAGCCTGGGACTTCATCAGTCTAGTCTGTGAACAAGAAACGGCGTAAACAAACACCGACAGGATCTAGTCTCGACTTTTCTTATACTCTCCGGAGGCCGCGAAGTTCTTTCAAGTTCTCTTTCTACAGAACCCAACACTCAGTGAAACTATGGGACAAGGACACTCTACTACCAAGAATCCACACCAACAGTCGTCCAAATACGCTCCTCGAGAATCGCCCGTTGATTCGGGCGCCACAAACCTGTCATCCACAAAGCAAAAGAAACGCGGTGGGACCCGAAGTAGCAGCACCAAATCCTCGGGCGGGGGCGCCTCCACGGGGCTACCATACGGCGGTGGAAGCTCCAAGAAGAGCGCGGGTAGTAGCAGAGAAGGGTCGAGAACTCTGCCACCTGCCATTGGTGACAGACGGCTCCCTGCTGTGCCCGCTCAACAACACTCGCCTACTGGTTCGGGTAGCCCGCGCTCTCACGACCACCAACATTACCATCCAGCCAGCAGAACGTCTTCCCTGACCCACAACCAGCCAGTCAGCACCAGGCACAGAAGTACAGACAGAAAGAGCAATGCACCCCCCAGCCTCCCGTCTCGACAGTTCTCACTCTCCAAACAGACTTCCACAGGGAGCGCCTCTGGTGGCACATCCAAACACACGCAGATTGAGAAATACTTCAACCTATACAAAGACAAGGAGGAGGCCGCTATTCTCGCCGAGGGCATAGAGCGATTCTGCATCGATCTCAACGTAGACCCCACAGAGTTTATTGTGTTGGTGTTGGCGTGGAAGTTTGAGGCCTCACAAATGTGCCGGTTCACTCGTGAGGAGTTCATCAACGGCTGCAAGAAGATGGAGGCATTCGACGCCAAGAGCCTCAGGAATCGGTTCCCGCAGCTCTTGCAGGACGCCCGCAGCGAATTTAAGGACTTGTACCAGTTCACTTTCAGTTTTGGTCTTGATCACAGCGCTGGGCAGCGCTCGCTGCCGACAAACATGGCGGTCCAACTGTGGGACCTGGTATTCACACAGGACCGGCCTCAGGTCCTGGAGCACTGGGTCAAGTTTCTGGGTGAGAACGACACGAGAGGCATATCCAGAGACACGTGGAACATGTTCCTGGATTTCTGCCAGAACGTGGCGCCCGATTTGAGCAACTACGACGAGTCAGAGGCATGGCCAACCCTCTTTGACGATTTCGTGGAGTGTGAGCTGGCCAGTATATAGGGGAACCTTGTAACGGTATCTTGTGTTAGAGTAATCAACTTCACTTTCGTTGTTTATCTTTTAATGTGCGTACACGTATTGTGCCCTGGTTAATATGGTGTGTGTCAACAGCCATGTATATACTGTAATTTCTGTTCACTTCCTCATCTTGCCTTTCATGCAGTATTACACAGTATGGGGCTGTACTGCGCCATATTGTATAGTACGATGATAGGCATGTGTTGTACATGTTCTGTCTGTGATCAAATTGAGTTAGTTCGTGCATATGCCCGTCCTTATTCTAGGTACAGGATTGATCAGAACACAAATTTATAACATAATGAAGTGCTCTCTAACGGTGTAAAGTGCTCTCTCCCTAATGAAGTTCACAGCATGCCAATGACCATCTGAACTTTTGTATAATAATTATACATCATTGTTGGTAAACATATTATACAATCGTGGTAAAGCACAGGAACCGTGAACAATACACATGGGAGCACAAACACACTTGCATCCACATTCACACAATAGCCAATGGCATACACTTTAGGTGGGGGAAAAACCTAAACATTGATAGTGCCAGAAATGATTGCAAAAGCACTTTGAGTCTTTTTCAAATTTTTTGCAAAGTAGTGTCAGTTATAATACAGGAGAGAGAGAGTGAGGGGGAGAAAATATGAATAATCGAGGAGTTGAGATTCAGGGTCTGAAAATATGTGTGTGTGGGTTTAGAAGGAAGGGAAGGGGCAGTAGGAACAGGGGAAGAGGGAAGGGAGAGCAATGGAATATAACACAAGGAGAGGGAAATGGGCCAAGAGGTAGATATATACACAAGGGGCATCTTCAGCTACTGGAGAGCCCGAGTTCTATCAGAGCTTGCGACTCGTCCTGCTGAAACGGAAGACTGATGCTGGCTGGGAGACTGTGAGTAAGATAGTCTCCTTGGGAAAAGCCGTTCACGCTGGGATTACCGCCTCCAGGCGTCGTCAACTTGTTGTGCAAGTTATTCATGTCGTCCAGGAAATTCATCTGAAACCCCTCGTGCGTGAGGGACCCGGGATTTGAGCTGTTGAGAGCGAGAGACCCCGGGGAAATATCGCTCATTAGTCCTCCACTGGCGTCAGACGTGTCCAGCCAGCTGACCCCACCCAGCATGGCTCCGCTGTAGGGCGGTGGATTCATGCACTGTTTCTCCATGAGACAGAGGTCAGAGTTTGACTTGTGTATAAGGGAGAGGGGAGGGTTGGGTGTTTGGTAGGACGAGAGGCCGCTGGCCAGCATGACGGAGTCCGAGCGCAGCGAGTCCTGTCGATGGCTTCCACTCAGCTTGCTGGAGTAGGAGGGAGGCTGGCCTGGAACTGCAAAACCTGGGCAGGAGAAATTGCAGAAGTCCTTAAACGAGGTTGGAAGGCAAAGCAACTACACACTGCACACACAGAACAGCTTCCCTGGGTGGGATTCAAACCCTTTGCAAACACCTACAGAATACGGCATGCACCCTAAACGTTATACAGATGAAAAACGTGCTGTAAATCGTAGTTGTACGTTACATAGTATGTATGTACCTGAAGCCTCGCCTTCCAGAATGCTGAATATTTCCGAGAGATCATGTGGTGGCACACTTTCATGGGTATCCATCTGGTAAAAAAGCCATAAACAAAGCAAAATTTATCTCACAGACCCAATGAAGCAACATGCATATGTATATGGGGGTACATCATGCATATGTATATGATGGGTACATCATGCATAATCATGCATAACACAGAAAGTGAATCCGCTTCTAATCATTACCAAGTGAGAAGCAACTAGCTATGACACAAGCCATTTTTGAGGAATTGAGCCTTGATTACAGGGGTATTGAATTATACTGGGAGTGGTGGGTGTGGATTATTGGTTGATGACTTACAGGAACATCAATTGGGTGTGTGGGCAAGTCTTCCTGAAAGAAGAGTCCCTCTTGAGTAGCCATCATCTCTCCAGTGTCGGAACTGAATGATGCAGCACTGTGTGTGTTGTGTGTTCACAGTGTTAGTGACATGTGGACAATTCAGGTGTATGCAAGGCAACAATCTCCGGCTGGCATTATGACAGGAGATTAAATATCATCCCAACAATAACTCCATTGTGTATTTACATGTACACATTACCATTTCATCCATGTAACCATGCTTATGAAGTCCCTTTGCTAATGTGCGTATTGTATGAATCATTGTTGATGTATTGTATGAAGTCCCATTGTTGATGTACATGTACATACCATGTATTGTATGCTTTCAGTTGCGTTAGGTGTATATGTTGTCCCTACCTGTGCACTCTCGGATGGTGCAGACCATGCTGGTATGGGTTGGTGAGGCTCATGGAGCGCTGCATGAGACCAGAGCCACTGCTCCCGTACGGCGGAGGTGGGGCGTTTGAGAGGTGCTGTGGTTTCGGCGGGAGCATGGCTCGCTCCTCTACCGTGGATGGGTACGGAGGAGATTGACTGAGACTGTCGCAGAGGCGGCTTGCTGCTGCTGCTCGGGCCGTGCTGCGAGTAGTAGCTGCTCGTCGCCATCAGCGGGGCGTGGTGATTCGTCTGGGAGTAAGCCCCTGAAAACGGGAGCCCGTTAGAAGTAGCTGCACCCGAGGAGCAAGTTGGGGCAGCGGAGGACATGAACGGTTGTTGAGAGTGTGGGTGCTGTGGGGGAGTGGCTTTCTCTCCCTTGACGCCCATGGCAGCTCCACTGCACGAGTGGACCTGGAGGGATCGAGGCTGCTCCGAGGAATCCTCCATTAGCTCCCCAATGAGCCGGGTGGCACTGTCTGAGGGAGAGAGAGGCTGCGGGCTGCTGGGCAGCGAATGCGACTGTTTACCAAAGGGCGACACTGCCATTCTGGACTCAGGGGCTGCATTGCTCCCTCCACTTCCCTGCCGCGGGAGTGTTGTTCCCTTACCAGACCTCTGTTGCGGTGCCAATCCCTCCACCCCTCCTCCTCTTCCGCCTCCCCCACGAGACTGCGTATCCACCGGACAGGGGAACTTTATCGCGACCATGTCCCCGAGCTCTGGGCGAGGCGCGAGGCTCTTTGGAGCCTGGCCCTGGCAAATGTAGCTCCGTTTTTGTCTCTCCACTAGTTCGTCAAACTGCTGCTGGAGAGTGTGCGCGGGAATGACTTGCGGGGCACCCATTGAGGAGAGGGAGGAGAGGGAGCCTTTTCTTCCGACGCCAGCATCACTCGAGTTGGGGCCGTGATCCCCGGGGAACTTGAAAACAGGAGACGAGGAGGTGGGTGAAGGTGGAGAGTAGCCGGACATGGATACTTGTGGATCCAGCATTGAGGGGTGGATGGCACGCCCCGACACAGCACGCTGCGGGTCCCTCGTCTGGGTCTCCGGGAGAGCTATTGCGGGGAGATACCCGTTATTATGCTCAATCAATCGCTCCACCAACTCGGCCTTCTTTCCCGACACGATCATGCCCATCTCCTTGCACGCCGCTTTCAAGTCGCTCACTTTGAGTTCCTCAAACCTGATGGAGGAGACCTGGTACTGGTTCGGCTGTTCCACCATCACCACTTGCGGGACCGACGTCTGTACAGTGACTCCACCCCCTCCTGTGGCTCCTCCCACTCCCGATGGACTCGGGTCCTTCCCTCCTTTCCCGGCCTTGCTGGTCTTTGTGAGCGAGTCCACGATGTCCGGGAGTTTTTGCATGAGGACACCATTGGGGTACTGTTGCTGGAGAACTTGAAGCTGCAGGAACAGTTGCTGCTGTTGAAGAATGTGGCTATAGGGAGTCTCCTGCTTGGGAAGAGGTTTGGGGTTGGTCTTTCCTCCCTTCCCGTTGTTTTTAGTCGGCGGGACGTATTCGTGATACCTTAACTTGCGATACTTCTGTTTCTGCTGTTTCTTCCGCGCCTGACTGGGGGAGAGGACCTTGTGAGAGGGGGCCATAATTCCCGGGGTATTCATGGCCGACTGAGGCATGGGGGAGGGTGGAATGAGCGAGGCAAGATTAAACGGAGGCGACCTCATCCCGCTGCGTCCGAGTGGAGAAGGCATCTCTTCCGGGGATTGCGGCTGCACGGAAGTGTCGCTCAGAGGAGAGGTGACCACGTCTTTTGACGGAGGGCTTCCTTCCCCCAGCGGAGAGGTGAGCGAGGACGCTCCTTGATACTGCAGCTCTCCCCGATCAGACGGTGAAGTCTTACCTCCGGCTTCCTCCTGCTCAAACATCCTCATGACGTCGGGGACCACCTCCGACAGTTCGTGGTTGTCGGGGACCAAGATTCGTCCCTTGATAAGCTCCAGGGGCCCTGGTCGGCGCGCAATCTTGCGATTGAGCTCGTCAGCGAGTTTGTTCTTTTTCAGCATCATCTGCTTGCTTGCCAGGCCGGGATCAACCATATCACCTGGAAGACAAAACAGCGATACATAATGGACCGTATATAAAGGGAGAACACTTCCGTTAGTTTGCAGCTAATGCACCATCTGCAAAAGATTTCGACAGTAAATTTGTGTTTGCGGCTGAAACACGAAAGTTTTCGCCCCCCTACGGTAGCTGATGGTTCACTACACTACAGCACTTACACTGTATGTTATGTGTGGCGGAACCTGTGTGTGGGTAAGCAATGCCGGATACATGCAATGGGTGGCCACATCGATGCCACGTAATCGCATGCCAGTCATACATAGAGCCAATCTCCCATGTCTCAACAGCCTCACACGCCGATCTGACATCAGCAGACCAGATTTAAAGCCTTACTTTACAAAGGCCAGGAAGTAGAGGCTAACCACATCAGTCGCCTTCCCCCCCCACTTCGCAACACGCCTGAGGTTTGAGACTATGTATTCCAGGGTCCATTCATTGATTTTTCTCACCAGGAAGGATGTTCATCTGCATGAGATTCTGTCTCTCCGGTCGGTTTCGCAGCTTCCTCTGCAAGCAGTCCGCATTCTGCGTTGAGGAAGAGAATAGAGGAGGTAGAGAAATGGCTACCGACTGTGTGTAATGTAGCACCTTTAATTGCTCTTAATGTCACCATAATGATGAATAGCACCTTCAATTGCTCTATGATGAAGCCATTTTAGGCAGGGGGCATAACCCCCCATGTACACACTTAGGCATTGAGCTTTATTAAGCTAAAGATCTTCAGAAGTACCAGGAATTCACTGGCATGGCAGGCCTAGTCTGGCAGCTCCCACGGCACAGCAGCACCTCTGACTGCCAGCAGTGTGATTAATCTATGCCTTAGGAGGCCCGATTTCCCAGGCACCAACACACACACACACAGAGAGACCCCAGCACATTATTACGTCCAATTGGTACGTACATACAGACGTAAACACACAATATCAATTGAAGCTCACGGCAAGGGTGACAGCATTTTTTTGCCTACAGACCATTATTGAAACCAGTGTATGTGATTCTTGCAATGTATTCTGTGACTTGGACGGCTAGATAGGCTTGGTTCAGTAATCGCAAAGCTACACACATACGTGCGTGCTGTAGTTCAAGTACTGGTAGAGATGGCAAAGGAGTGGGGGAGACAGCTGGCTACATCCCATCCGACGCCAGTACGCAACTGGACTCCTGGCAAACCTAAACACGGCTAACAGAGAGTTCAAAAGGTCGGCCACAAGAGGCTCAAGTGGACCGGAATTAAAGTTCAAAGTGCTGTCCAATTCCCCATCCTCCGGTTATATCAGGGCCGCAGCCAAGGGTTAGTAATAGAAGATTTGGGCTGTGGGTAAGGTGGCTCCCTGTCACGTACAACAGGCCTAAGGAGACTGGCAGAGAGCACACTAGTACCGTCTGTGTACAATTGCACTGAAATTCTGAGCAGCTGAGTGTAGGAGTCTCAGATGCTCAATTAGAACAGTTTGTATGTATGAAAGCATTTCATCATGGCATACACACACGTGTATCGGTCTTCTAGTATGTACCATCATGGTGCGGGGGCTTGGAGATCTCAGTACGTAGAGAGAGAAAAACCCACTAATGCACAGAGACAAGAAACGTGGGCAGTGTTGTGCATGTTATAAACACTAAGAGATGTCGGACAGAATAACACACGCAATACATAGTATGTAGTATAATATACCTTCTTCTTCTGCAGTTCTTTTGTCTGTTGGAATAGAATAGGAGACGAAGAGAAATCTGGAAGGGGAGGAACGAGATATGGGATATCAATTGCTAAGCTATTCAATCAGTCTGCGTGATTGAAATTGATGATGTGCAACCGTCTGCCCAGTGGTCTGAATCCCATGAACTAAGTTCAACAAAAACGTCAGAGCCCGGAGTACAACACACACACACAGTGTCTCGCTTTGCCGCGTGCCAGAGCCAATTGCTACAAGACTCACAGTCTCCCCTGCACTACGCAACACACGGTCGGTGTACCACAACTGAAGTGGGTTCACATGTTCAGAATACACACGCTCTGTGGGTACCAGGAATTTCAAACTGTTTCCACAGGGTGGCCTTACCCAGCCATGTGGAATGTTAGAACCTCAGGTGAGGTGCCATGGGCTATTGCACGGGGAGAAGGCACCTATGTACACGTTATAAACCACATCTCTGGTGATGAAAGGTGGGGGGGCAGTTATAACAGCACGGCGGAATTTGAAACTGCCATGTTTCTATAGCGCAATTGCAGTGCCCTCTACTCATTTTAGTATACACATGCCGCTCTACCTGCTCGTGTGTCATTTCATAATCTGTGGCGACAGCTGGTTGTTTTTTTTATACCCACAGCTATATGAATATCACATTTACATGGGAACGTGTATAGCATAAGGTTCTCTCTATCACAACAGCTTAACTTGCTTATATCCCTGCCGTGTGGTTACATGACATTGGTTCAAAGCGCCTTCTGCCGGTAGAGCATAGCTCTTCCAGTAGCTCATGGCACATCAATGAAAATCCCATTAGGCCCAATAGCAGTAGGAACTATTGAGGTGGTGGTAACCAGGGCGACCTTCATGTAATGTACCTTCACATGGGAACTATTCTTACACTACAAACATCTTGTCTCCCATGGAATTTAGTCAGTGGTAATAACTTCGCATGACTTTCCATTAAGGATTTAGTGTTAGAGACATGGAAAGAGACGTACAGCATATACCTCTATCAAGTGTCAGAAGCTAAGGGGAATCCAGATATAAACAGAAGGGACCATTACGGATTACGCTATTGCTAATCGGCGGTATATACAGAACGTAAAGGGAAAGCAAGGCATAGCATACTGGATGTGAACAATGAGGTGGCAGAGCAAAGCAAACGACACAACTACAGTAGATACAACCACACCTGTAAGGGGTTTTGGACACAGCGGCGTATTATAATGGCAGGGTTGGCTGGCCTAACAATGACCACCTCCCACATGAATAAATGATAACACGCTCACTCCCTCATTTACAACTCTATGGACCCAATGCAAGACACACCTGTTCACCATTGACACCTGGCATTACAACAAGCACTCGTGAAGTAACTCTACACTTAGCGAAAAGTGTTTTACTTAGCTCAATAATTTTGAACACTGCCACTCCAAAACCCGATCTCTATCCTGATGTTCACGTTCCGGCATTAAACCCTCCACCGTAATTTGTCGAGTCGCCACCAAATGTTTTAAAGGTCTACCCACAATAATTGTGGGTAGACGTCAATGTATTATTGTGGCCTAGTTTAAACGGAAGGAATTGCTGTGGGCTGTGTAATTGAGGTGGCTAAAAGGGTTTAACCGCCGGTGGTGAGATGTATGTCGACACCTGAGAACGAGAAGTGGGAGATATCACCGCTCAAAAGGGTGGGACCTGAGCTGTTTTGAAGTGAACTGGGAGGTCAGCACCAGCAAAGGAGTAATTTGTCCCACAATTGAGCGAGTGTTCCAGCTAGTGGTTATGGATTGGTGCGGTGATGAATTGATTTCTCTGTTCCAGCCTCCCTCCTTGTCCAAGTATGCACCACTCATACATCATCCCCCAGCATTGAAAGAGCTGTGGGGACTATGTACATACACTGCCGAGCCCTCTTTCCTCCCTCCCCCCTTTCCCCACCTCCTCTCTTTCCTCTCCCCCTCCCTACTTTCCTGTTCACCTTGCCTCACCTCCCTCTCTCTCCTTCCCCAATTTCTCCCTCCTTTATTCCCTTTTGTAGCACCCCCACGCCATCTAAAACTGCACTACAACTCTACACTACAGTTTACCTGACCACAAGTCCTAAATCGACTGAACTCCCACGACCTCCAGCTGTAGCCTGTAGCACTACTCCACACTCACACACACACACTCACATACACACGCAGCTAAACCACTGAACTACTGAAACATGCCCAATTCAAAGCTAGCAAGCACACACACACACACACACACACGCGTCTCCTCTCGACTTCTCTAAATCCCATCGTTTCACGTAAAGACTAAATTTCCACAGAAAGAAGGCCAACCGTGCCAAATGTACCTCTAACAAGGCTCTTGTGAGGGATAATGGATGGAGAATGGACCTGAAAATGCCAGTCTCAATAAACCATCGACTCTGAATGATAGTCTAGTGTGAATGGAACACACATGTGCTGCCATTAGCATCACAATCTGTTTCAGACCCTCGGGGAGTGTGTGTGTGTGTGTGGGGGGGGGGGGCTGAAGATTTATCCACTGGGAAGAAACCTTATCAAACCTTATCCTCAAACTATTTGTGTTGGTGGAATTGCTATTCTAGGCCCTCTGTAATATTGTACACCATCAACAAAACTTCCTCTCACATTCAGTATTCAGTTTCACTTCCCACACACTGACAAACACACAAACTCTCTTGCATGTCAATAAAGTAACACAAACTCCTTTAATCCCTCATTTTGTTGTTCTCTAGTTTTAGCAGCAAAGTACGGGGTATCATTACACTTGCAATTGATGTGTATCCGCCATATCCCCCCAACGGGTTGTATACATCATCGTCACCTTGGCTCCCAGACACACAATCATTCCCAAATCCTAATCCCATTACTATGTTAATCCGCCACCAAAGACACATTCCCAGGATAGAGGTGTGTACAGCGTCTGTCTGGGGGTTGTGGGCCTTGCCTCGTTTCAACCGCATGTAAGGAGGCCAGGGGGACAAATGGATCTCTAATACAGCTGTCTTGGAGCTGCTAGCTGTGACGTAGGCCACTGCCAGAGTTAGTGCCTGGCTAGCATACAGTGTTTGTTGAGTCAGGCCAAGCCGCTGGGCTAGCTCGGTCCAGCCAGTTAGTGGAACTATTGCATAATGGCAATAGAGCCGTCACCAATGGGAGAGTGTTTGCATGGGAATCGTTTGTTTGGCCAAGTACACGCCACTCATTGATGGATCAATGGGGGCTAGATTGCTTCGGCCAGACTCAATACTTGCTCGACTTTTCAGACACTGCGACACACAAACGGAGGGAACACACACATTACATTGTACACAGAGTGAAGGATACATCAGCCCACACAGAGATTGTACAAAGGGAAGCAGACGACAAGAATAGGGCCCTACACAAACTGCAACCAGTGTGCTCCAACGCACAACAAAGGAATCGAAAACTTTCTCAGTACACTTGGCTCTTGCTATTCTCTGTGTGTAGTGCTGGGCCTAGTTGGTAGAGACAGCTGTGGCGTTCCCAAGGAAGCCAACCCATCAAATCTAGGGCTAGTGGTAGAGAAAGCTGTGGTGCTTCCAAGGAAGCCAACCCATCAAATCTGCCAGGTGTCATACAATCGCACAATACTGTGGGAAGCTTCCATACAATGTGTGACACAATTTGGCTTATCCCCTCCAAGGGGATTCTTACACAGTACGCCCATCATACAAATCATCTTTAACCCTTCTCTAACTACACCTCTTCACAAGGGGAACGAGACGTGTAGGGTCTATACTTGTAGACTAGTTTGGGGAGGTTCGATATCATCAAACCTTCTCAAACCACTCCATTTCAGGGGGAACAAGGTGTATATAATATATAGAGAGAGAGTCCGAGCCTCTCTGAACTACACGTGGTTCTAGTAGTGTAGAGGTTGAAAAGCTCTTATCACTCTCTTTGTCTACACACAATGACTCATTATATATCCATTTCCTTCCCAGAGCAGGGCCTTGATCTGCGTGGCTCCCAGCAGAGTTTATACCACATCCTAACTACACAGCAAACACACCGTTATCAGCATAAACACGCCACCTTAGGGGAGCTGCTAACTCTAATTTCCTTTCTGTACCCAAAACAAACACGTTAGCAGGAGGTTTTAGTTTGGATTGTGAGTTTTGATTAGGAAAACTTTAGCATGCACATAATAATATTATGTAGGAAAAGAGGGCCATTGTCAACTACCCTCGACGTGGACTTCTTTAGAAAGGTGGTTTTAACGTACATAAGAACTATTGGTACGCTTCTGTAGAAGGTGTTCTGGGGATGGGGCGCTGGTGGGTCAATTTCCCCAGTGATTTCAGAAGAATGTTCCAGCTAATGTATATACCAGTATCCACCTCTACTCACTCCCCCACATCGCTCCCCAAAGACCTGTAGTAATGCCGGGCCAGCCAGTCAGCGAGTCACCCGCAGCTGTCGGCGGACTGTCCAGCTGCCCTCACAGGGCTAAAGAAACCTAGAGACCCAGCAGCACTCACACAAGACCCAAAACCAACAAACACAAGATCAACTCTCAAACATCTAGTGCCCCCTGCCACACTCAATACTTATGTATGTGTACCACATATACTATATATCTCAGGACACCAGGATGTAAGGGCCTATGAAATCAGAATGAATTCAGGGGCACTTGTGGTCCGATTCTCCCACTCAGTTCCAAAATCCCAAGTTTTAATTCAACAGTCATTACCACTGGAGCAGGTTTATTATATGGGCTAGAATTCCTTAAGTATTACATCATCATTTCACTCTGGGAAACAACGGAGGTCACTCACTATCTGGTGTGAGTGGTATGCCTTTTGCAGACATTTGTGCACAATAGACTTCAGTCCATGTATTATTAATAGTCAATAGATGGAGTAGAACAAACAAAAAGCCCCAGGCAAGGGTAAGCACTTTTAAGATTTTTTACACTTTTCACGCACCGGTGCCTTCTCCTTTGTAGACTGCACAAAACGGTTTTTATGGTAAAGTACATAGTTATGAGGCCAATAGACAGTGAATTGTCGTCACATTACTGCACAGTAAACCACAACAGAGGCTCAATCGTCCTATGATAATTGGCAGTTGTTGTATACCAATTATACACTGAAAAGGCAGAAATAGTGGGAAAATGAAACTACGAAAAAGCAGTACACAACACGATGACATGTTTCCTGCCACAGAAACATCTCCGCATGTACATACCATCAACAACGAACCCCTCGGACTTTTGCTACTATGTAAAATGGCTAGTGAGTTCGCAGGCAACACAACACAGGAAACTCTGAGGGTGGGTAGGGGTAGTATGCCCTGATACCTTTTAATAATTAGCTATAAACACTAGTAACAAGACTTAATCACTGCACAGGATACTTTAGGGTCAAAAGTTCAAAACCCTCCAGCTATCTGATTAGACTAGGTATGTGAGAGACAAGAGTTGCATAGCTAGAAACCAGGAGAATGGTAACTTTTTATGGTGCCTTATAATTATCTACCTACCCTAACGCCTCTAGCTATCCAGTCTGTTGTATACGACCTCCAGTGTGATTCAGACTATAAGGCTACCGGTAAGAGGACCACGCAGAGGCGGTGAGTCAGGAGCCAAAACACAACAAAGCCCCGGAATTTTCCCAGCACAGCACACTGATACACAGCAGCGGACCCCTCGTTAACCTTCTGATGGGAAACTTCCTACCTCAGGACGCTGATCTCAGACTACAATTTGCTACTCAATGGGACAGAGAAACTTCCCCTATAAGTGAGACGTCCTTATTTCAGGGGTTAAATTGCATGCAAGAACTGTTTTTGAGGGGGAAAAAGGTGCCCCCTTAATAAGAGGTTCTAATTTCAGAGAGAGGGTATATACACATTGTATTGGAGAGTCTCTGTTGCAAAGGCCACTGGTCATGGCAAGCTAGGGAGATAAACAGATTTGTGGCTCTTTGAAAGTGGTCAGCGATCCATATAGCAGACCACAAATTGCTGGCACCAGTCCTTTCACTATTACATTGAGGTCGCAGGAATCGAGCCTCTAGAAAATGAAAAAGGAATGCCGGGCCAATGTTTGTGTACACAACAACCCTTTTAATTACGGCCAAATTTCACCAGCTAAGGAGACCGCCGCATTATGTGCGTAAAGAAGCTCGGTTTGAATCCAGACAAAGGAATTTGCTGACTTCTAAAGAATGTTTTTCCTGCAGAATTGTATTGGCATAAAGTACATGTACATAGCATGAACCTAGCATATGACATTGTGGCAAAATCACATGTTCAGCTCAGCACAATCTCCGTGCTACTGAGAGGGCCTGATACATAATGGGGGAGTGTCTGGCTGTTGAAGACTCAAGTCAGGCAAGACAATGGGTAGTAAACCATCCATGGAGATTAATGCCAATAATGCCAATAATGCCATTCATTGCCTGTGTGTGCAACACATGTGTTACTGTGTTACAATATTTCAGCTGCTGCAGTAACATGTCCTACCAAACTACCATAACACCGATAGTGTGGTGTGTACTCATCTGCTACTGGAAAAATTTACTACACTATACTACAGTGCACGATAATGCGATCATCTTCAATTTTCCATGTGGGGTATATGCACATGTTCACGGGTGACAAACTGAAAAAATGTCCACGTCTTTGTTGCAGTACATTTCGGGTTTCTGTTTCATCATACTCCACACAGTTGTTGTAAGTGTACCGAAAGGAGTGCAACACGTGGGAACAACAAACATACCTGGCAGGATATTCTTCTGGACCAAGTCTTCCCTAACAGCTCTTGCTCTCAGCTTCTTCTCCAGTTCTGTGTGGGTGCACAGGGAGAAATTGAAGACGGTACTTTACAACACATAAGGGGTCTATATAGTATTACTGCGAAATCAGGAGATATTAGTTTGCCCTTCCCTCTAATGAAGCTAACATCAAAGACTCCCACTTATCACAATGTACCCTACAGGGAACTAAGCATTATTTTCTCCATGGGCTCTTAAATATCATCTGCACAACAATTTTGCATACTGTGCTCTTCGATATTCACCACACACAAACTCTCGAGTCCTCTCTTCTTGCCCGTACACTATTGAATAGTTCCGTAAGAAACGGATAAATCAGTACGTTGGAGGAGATGCTGCTTCCCATACTTGTATACTGGGCTAAGGGTATTCCAGGCTAAAGTGAATACAACATAAATAGAGTGTATACCAGACTAAGGCCAATAGCCAATAAAATAGGGAGAGAGGGAAAGTGGGAGGATGAATGCAGTAACACATGTACATTCCAAGACATAACTTTCAATTCTTCAGTTTATGAATCTCGGCTACAGTTTCACCCCAAAAATGTTTTAAACGCTGCATCTTGTAATAGCCCCAAAATGCCGCGGATTCTGTTTCGTATTATAAATGGACAGTGTAGGAAATTTATTTGGGGCTGCCTAAAGACGATAAAGGGGATCAGAGGGGAAGCATGGGGTATTGTGGAGTTTTCAAGTTTCATTTCCCTCTCCACAAGTACACAGCAGGTGTCTATGGCGGTTGTAGACGGCATACAAGGTAACCGCATTTCGGCTTGTATCCCAGCCATGCAACTGTAGGTTCTTGTACAAAAATTGGTCAGAATGGACATGGGTTCTACATGTTTTACTACTGGGACAACTTGTAAAACCCAAGTGCCAGAAGCCGGACTCAATAAGGCAAGTTAGAAAACGGGGCATGAACGCTCATAACTGCAAAGAGAAAGCCGAGGTGGCGGGGGTATATACACGCACAAAGACCGTCCATCCTGCCTGCTGACTTCGCAGGTAGCTAGCTAAACCACTGAATGCTAGCCAGGAAGAGCGAGTGAGGGAGTGCCCGTATCGTTACTGTGCACGTAAGGCTGCCAGGGAACGGGTAGGGTCTTCACTAGACCGCGCACGTCCATACCTGCACTCCTGTGATCGATACGAGGGCCGTCCATGGCCGCGCAGCTCTCTGCCTGACACTGCTTCACGTCTTTGTCTTGAACAGTCAGTCCCATTATAGCACTTGTGCATCCACGAGCGACACACACCGCCATCCACGAGCGACCAGGGCACCACGGCAAGAGGCTAGCTAGCGACTCTACGGCTAACTAAGTCTGAAACTGCCTGCGTTCACAACTGCTGCACACTTTACTTCTGCAACCGTCGCTGAACTCACGGCTACGCGTACTGTACGGACGCAGAACGGACGTGCATATAAATACATCGCGCTTCCTGGCCCCGCAAGAGGGGCGCGCTTTTCCTGGTCCCGCGAGAGGGGCGCGCTTAGAGGGATGCTAATCTGATTGACAAAACCACTAGTCAGGGCCAAGGGGAGAGGGACAAAGAGGGAGGTTAGAAGCTAAAGAGTGGAGGTAAAACAGAGTGTAAAAAGATAGAATGGATGATGATGCACCTTCTGTTATAATGTCTCAGTGATCACATCATAAGCCTTGTGTAATGTTTTGGCATTGTCATAACCATACCTATCTAAAGCAAATCCCATCATGTCTCATCATGTATCATATGCACATCATGCACTCGGCTCACAAATGAACTCTGTTTGTCCAACCATTATGCTCCCTCCACCTAGCATACAAACACCGTCCTTGTCACAATATTGCGCTCTACATGACAAGCAAGTGACTACAGAAAAAGAGGCATGTACGTCCAAACAGAACAATAAGAGATGGGATTGAGCAACCCGATACACACACACACCCAGTACCTGGGCACCATAGAACACAATCACACCTACATATACACTGGTAAATGAAGTTCGGTAACAATAGAACACCCTTGCTTTATCGCAATAGCATACTCACACAAAGTACACACACTGCTACCACCTACCCTGTTGGACAGTCATCCTGTCCTGGGTGGAAGTATCCACACTGCTCTGCGGGGAGGTGAGCTCTAATAAGAAGTCTGTCGGTGAAGATTGGCGATCATTTGCTGCCATGATTTGCACTCCTCCCACACACCCTCTCTGTTTACCAACACAGCAGTCCTTATGTGGAGACTTTATTCAACCTGGTTCTCACAAAAACTACCTTTCAACTTCGTTCCTTTAGCACTCAGCCTTATCAAAACAAGGGCTGTGTACACCTTCCTCGTTCCCTGCTTCGTTTGAACCGCTCCAGCCACGATACAACAAAACAAGCCCGTCTCTCCAATTTAGACAGGTAGTTTCTTCTCTGTTTGCGATGGCTATCGACAAAGGGATACTGTAGAAGCAACAACGTCTCTCCAGCGGGTTATAGATGGACTAACAGCTTGCTGCTGGGTCCGGGGAACAGTGAACGCGTTTCTCTCTCGAAGTCCAGGGTCTGTGGAGGCTTTTGTGGCGTCTGTCCCTCTATCAAGCTCAGTAGGTCAGGCTAAATCACATTCACAGCCGTAGACATAATCATTTCGGACCCAAATCAAGAAGTTTATGCAATCTCCGTATACTGTATGATTATTTCCGTAAACTTATTTTATTGCATTACGTAATATTTTCTAATTTTATCCGCTAAAGCTACACGCTGAAGGTTCTGCTTGTTACCTCTCTCTTTTTCGATCTTGTGGGGCTTTGAACTGCTGACATGTTCTCTAGTAAAGATTCGTGGTGAGATTATTGTATTTTTCTGACCGTTTAGTGCTTTAGTTTGCTTTGAATACGCTCGCTCGGAAAGTGTTCAGTGTTATGGTGGGCATTTAATAGAATAACTCCGCCATCCTGTTTTTCTCTCTTACTACATTGTGTAGGTTGAGCGACTACGACTCTGTGGTGCAGCTGGGAGCCAGGATAGGGACCAAGATCAGGGAACGGGACGAGCATGAAAGAGGCACACTCCACAGAAATAGGGTTTGTAGCTAATAATAATTGTGGCAGTCATTGGTATGGGTGAAGGTTCAGACAAATCTGGCGTGTGCATGGCCCGTTCTGTTCTGATGCGGTACTATTTCCACACATCAATAACATTCAGGTATACGTGTGCCACATGTACTGTGTATCATGATAGCTAGTACATATCATCTGCCCACACCTACGATTTACTGTAGTGATTTACGGCCGTACATCTTGGGAACAGAGTCAAAACACCACATAGTTACGACATCTCTTGGCATTTTCGAATCGTTCTGACAGCTAAGTTTGGGGAGACTGGATGTATGCTAACTATGTAACGAACTGTAAGGGCTAATCTTGTGACAGCTTGTTGCGTGTGATCTCCATTTTTGTACCAATAAGACAATGAAAGACGAGTTCAGTGTCAGGTTTGTGTCTAAATACACATCCTGACGACTGCACAGCCCCTACCACCAACACTCTAATAAACGTAATTTTTTTGTTTGCCTGCATTTTCGTTCACATACTTCCTAAAGTTTTGCAAGTAAATGTTCACAAGAAGATTATGTGTGCATGCTAGGAGCTTTTCTGGCAAGTGACAGTGAAGCAAGTTGATAGACCATGACAACTATCCACACGATACTATTTACATTTGACCAGTGTTCCATGACATCGTCGTTGATTACATACTTACTCAGACTGTAGAAAATTGTGAAATTCAGACGATAGGGTGGGCTGGGCTTTTCTGCTTTCCAATAAAAATCTGTTTTAGAGTTTTCCCTTGTGAGTTATACAGAATCCCTGAGAAGTGTAGCGTGTGTGGTGAGACGACTGCTTTCCTCGTAGATAACCAAGGGCTCGGGTGACCAATCGTTATTATATACCACGCTGTATCTATTGCCGTGTGAAAGAGTGCCCTCCCTGTGTACGTGGGACAAATCACACCATCGAGGGTTTCTTTATTTGACGGTCTAAGGGTTCGGGCTTCTTCCTTTATGTGTAATCACTTTGCCATTCTTACCGTCCCATTTTTCAATGCTTGACATCCTGTGGTAGACATCGGATCATCTCGACAGGGTCTTCTAGTTCAGAGAGAATTTCTACGACATTTGTTTGCACATTGCAAAAGTTGACATGTAAACAATCTTTGAAGACTGTCGGGGTGAGGGTTTGGGGATGCGGCGAGGAGTTGCCTCAGAGGGAGAAAGACAGGAGTGTGGCATGTCACACGTGGCCCGCACCAACCTGTTTCCTGTAACTGCAGTTTTCAAAGGATGAATCAGCTTACCGATTTCTCTACCTCAAAGACTTGGATGAGGATCAAGCCACTGTCCAGTGTAGCAAGTAGGCTTCTTGTGGGGGCGAACTCAATACCCGCTATAATATTATAGTGTATTTACTCTTTGCGCATGTATATAGGCTCCAGTGTGCCTGCATGTCTAGTAATTGATGTTTTACCAACAGAGTCACATCATATGGCAATCAACGAGAAGACTATACACTTCTGCCTCCATAGCCGCTTGCACTTGCAGTCAGTGTGTTTAAATAGGGAGGCTGTCTCCATGTACATTTGCTTTTCATGCATGCACCCTGGAGGGGATTCAATAGCAGTGACTCACAGTGCACCATCCCCATGGTTTTGAATGGAGCGCTTCTCTTGCCATGATGGTGTCCTAGAATGTACACGGTACGACTCATTTCAGACCATATTAGACGGGGCTGTAATTGTATCTTCTTTGAAGATTCAAATACCCAGCTGCTTATTCATTGGGAAAAAGGAAAATGAGTGGCTAGACTCATGTGTATACCCTAAAGTGTCTACAGGTGGTGCTCTAAACTTTACCTTACACGGCAAAACGCGAGGCTATGAGAGAATCCCTTGTCAGTGTGAGTGGGTGTGGGAAGTGGTGTCCGCAAGCGCCCCAGTGAGTAGTAAGTCCGTTTGTTTTTTGGTGATGTCATGGGGGATTCCCCAGATTGTGGCCGAGTGCTGCCCTCCTTTAATGGCAGTGTGGAAGCAGGGAACACTCCAGCCAGTGCCTCTAGCAAATCTTGTCTTGTATCAGCTGTTGATTCGGTCACACTTCCTGTTGGCTCTCTCCACTTCCTCCTGTGCCATGTCTCCACTTTCTCCCTTACTGTTATAATGTGGTGAACTGTTGCTCATGTGACCAGCCGGTGGGCGATCTTTTGTTCAATCTTTGCTCTGTACCCACATATTATGCGTGTTCGTCTTGTTAATGTTTTTCAAATTGCTAACTCAACAGTACACTGCTTAACTAACACACAGGTAGATGTGTTTATACAATTTCTTTGAGCGTATTAAAGACTAGGGGGAATCCTAGTGGCTATGTATGCTACAGTATATAATGTTTTGGTTGGGAGTGGTATGTGGCTTATTAGTCCTCGATACTGGTCCAAAGTGTGGGGTAATGCGTAGGAATTGATGGTGTTCTTGGACTGCCATTGAAGAATGAGGGTTTACTATTCACCGTGCCCATCTGGGCACACTGTTTACCACCAACCCCCCTCCCTTGTCCGTGTCCCCGACATCAATCTCACTGCTTCCATCTACGCACATATTGTGGTTCAAGAAGTGCGACGTGCTTTACATATGTAAGTGGTCCTCTGCTGACGGTGATCTGTTTGGAAGTACAAACAGTCAAAAAACACGTGTTTTTCCGCTCTAAGTAACAAGGTTTTACGCAACGGTCCATTTTTCGGCCCTTAACCCTTTAGTGCCGCAATTGGGGCAGAATTAGCGGCCCATATACTGCACGGTGTCCATGGAGGTGCTAAAAGTGGCTCAAGAATGCGACTAATGACCATTCCATTGCCGTGTTTGTGGAAGTGGAGATTTCTGGTGCCCCATGTAGTGTACCAGTCCTGCTCTCTCTTATCCTTCCTACAGGCTCTCTCTAACACAACCACACACACACACACACACACAACCACCAGCAGTAGTGTTGAGGTATGTAGTGGAATTTGAACTGGTGGTCACTTTGTTAAGATGTTTACCAGGGAACCTGCCATGTAATGTATTGCTAATATACGTGGACCCTGCATTAGACACTAGTTAGAGGTTGGTGGATGTGCCAGCAACGAGATAACTTGTGTCCTCTGTGAGTTTGTGTGTAGACTAAATAGAGGACACACTGGGACATGCCCATTATGCAGAATACACTAAAAAAACAAATGTCCTTTATAGAGTGTGTCATTTATTGAGAAGGTCCACTACACTGTATTACAGTTGGATACCTCGGTGGAGCGGATGGTGGCAGACTATCAGAAGCGACTGCAGAGCCTCAAGGCCTCCCTACACAAGCTGTCCACCAGCAGGAACCTGTGAGAGCCACTAGTCTACCACAATATAGCCATATTATGATGGGAGTTTGTGGGGAATGTTCATGGAACGCTTGCTCAGTGTTTTTGCTCACAAACAGTTTCTTTTATTAACTGCTATTGGTATTCAGAATTTGATCTGCCCTGTCTACAATGTCCCTCCCTCCCTCCCTCTTTCTTTCTGTGCAGGTCAGAACTAGAGTATGAAAAGAGAAAAGGCATGCTTCAAGAGCTGTCAGACAAGTACATAAGTTGCTGCCTTTTTTTGTAGGAAAACACACTTTACTGTTTTGCACGTGGTCGTGTCTCTGTTGCGTACAGGTACAGACAATTGGAGACGGCTAAATCAAGGGGCTGGGCTCCAAGGTAAATGAACAACGGGTTTTTACATTCCAGTGAAATGTCACGATTAAGAGTATATTTACTGACTGATGTCTTAGCTACCAGGCAGTGGATGTGGATGGGTGGGGAGGAGGACCAGGTGTTGGTCAGAGATTATCGGCTGAAGAGGTCAGAATGCAGCAACAAGCCATCATTGCTGGTGAGAACCGTGGATGCAGTATAATACAGAGCCACGTTATTTTCTAGGGTAGGTGGTAAATTTTTGCCGATTAGCTGTTTTTTTGGTAGTTTTCGAGGATTGTGGAACTTTTTTTCAGTTGCCCGTACCCACTATACTGTATTTTCATGGCGTTTCTCCACAAATATTGCACGTCTCAACATCATTGTTTTCACAACTTCTAACACGTATGATAGATGGTTTTTGTGTGTGTGTGTGTGTGTGTGTGTTGGTGTCATCAGAGCAGGACCAAGGGCTGGACCAACTGTCACAGGCTCTTCGCAGACAGAGGGAAGTGGGACTGGTGATACAGGACGAGGTCGTGGATCAGAACTGTAAGATTGTGTGATCTTTACAAAGTAGTTAGCTTTACGTCCATACGTACACATACGTAGCAAGTCAAGAAAACCTCACAAAGGACCGCGAAGATGATTCAGGAACACTTGGCTGTGTTTGTATGTTGGGAGGGAGGTATCCGCTGTTGCCAACAGAGGTACTTTGGATGGGACCCTGAATTCAATATCCCTCTCCATTGGCAATCACAGTGGGGGGTGATGTTGCAGTGGACAAGGTCCAAGTGACATGAACATTTAATCGAGTTGCCCTCTAGCACGGGAAACTGGGCCCAATCATTCTGTCCTTCTGTCGTTGATGTTTGTTTGTGTGTCTGTGTGTCTGCAGTATTGATAGACGACATCCAGCACGGTGCAGAGGTAGCCAACACTAAGGTCCGCTCGCAGACTCGCAGGATCGCGGAGGTCAGACGCAAGGACTCCTGCAGATGCACTTGCTGTGAGTGTATCTATCATTTATACATTGGAACCTCCGATAAGTGCTCCTCCGAGATTGACCTCTCTACAAAGGACACTTACTTGTTTCAACCCCATGCTAATACTTATAAGTGTATTATTTGACCTTCGAGATGGGGATGACCTCTCTATATAAATCGTTTGCCCCATAGCGTCCCTTGTTCAGAGGTTCCACTGTAGTAGGAAACTTATAGGAGAAAAGAATATTATACACATGCAACATGTTGAAGGTTGATGATCCTATTTTCTACTTTTCCCCACACACAGTGCTCTGGACAATCATCGTCGTACTGTTTATTCTGATTTTGATTGTCGTCTTTGTCAAGTATGATGGAAGACCTGGCTATTAGCCTTTTATACCCGCCGTGTGTGTCCTTGTGTGTGCATATTTATTATTATTTTTGTTGAGATGATTTTATTGGTTTCAAATCATGATTGTAAAAGCTCTAATCGGAGTCAAATTATTATTTGGAATCCTAATCTGAGTCTTGCTGAGTTGGTGAATGCTCCTCGTTGTCACTGTTGATTGAGAGCAAGTACTTTCTCATCTTCACCTGTGGGAACCAGGAAAAGATTGTAGTACGCATCCATGGTTAATATAAGAATTTGTGGGAGCCTTTGTATATTATTATACATTATGTAGTTGAGAATGGAGTATAGCCCTGAGTTTAGCTTTCCAAGTGAGTAATTAGGTTACCTGTTCTTCAGTCAGTATGTACTCATCAATCTCATCATCTAAATCACTGAGGTTTTCATCTTCTCCTCCCCCTCCACCTCCTATCTCCCCCACAACACTGTTGGCAAACACCACAGGCAGCAGTGAGGAGACCGCACTCTTTCTCGCCCTCTTCCTCGGCCGTCTCCTCTTAGTCCCACTTTCCCCCTCCCCTTTCTCCGCCCCTGTAATCTCCTCTCCATTAACTTCTCCCTCTCTTCTGCAGTGAATAATTTGGTGCTACAGTCCCTTTATAGAGCCTTTTCTGCAGGTTAGTGAACCTCTGAACAAGGGACACCAAGGCACCGATTATTTCCGCCCCTTGTATATAGAGAGGTTGTCCCAATCTCGGAGGGTCCCTTATCAGAGGTTCCACTGTATAGCTATTCAGCTAGCTTGAGACATGTCGTTTATTTGGAGTGTTGCATTATCCATTTAGAGTGTCCACAGTGATAATTATATTATATTAGAAGCGTACATGAGCTCCATTTCACAGCTCAGGTAGTGTTTGTTCTGCAGGAGTCTGTCGAGATAGCGCTGAACATTCTGTGTCCTGATCACGCGATTCTTCACATCTTCCTCTGTATTACATACATGCATACAGCGGGAGAGAAAATCACATCGTTTCCTATGGCCTTGCTGGTTTCCACTTTTATGGAGTAGCGGGAAAGGGAAAGTGTATAGGTCATCCTTGAAAGTAAAACACAGTGCATTTGCAGGACAATATAAATTCTGTGTGAAATTACTATCTTCTCCCAAATTGCAACTCCCTGAGTGCATGCAGATCCCTTCGTTAAACTGAAGTTTGGTGTGTTAGCATACTTTAGTGTGTGTATTATATATACCTAAGCAAGGGCATCGAGCAGCCAGAGTGACCAGAGCCTTCTTGATAAGCCAAATCCTCTGAGAACCAGACAAAATGAACACACTCATTTTGGCGTTGATTGAATGCAACTCACGGTATTCACTGTTTTGACTGTCATTGAGATGCTCTTAGACAGATCTGCTACTTCAGATTTCTACAGCCAGAGATCCATCAAATTACACATTTAATAAGTCTCTTTTTGGCCGGTAAAAAACCTATTGTTGATCCGTGAACATTTGCACTACGTATCTTTATTCACATGTTTTGCAGTACACCAGTTATAATACACCAACATTACATAATAAATATAGAGAGTATGTGTGTTCATGTGCTTACAGGCAAGTCTTTTCGTCTGACATACTGCAGTGCTACTGCCAGAATGCAGTAGTCATTGATGGGTATCTTACGCCTGAGACAACAGAGAGAGAGAGAGAGAGAGAGAGAGAGAAAGTCAAAATACATGAGCTCCAAGAGAGAGAAAATGGCTCACAAGTGGAGATCTTGCACCTTCACATCAAGTACCATACTCCAGATCCTGATGATATATAGAAATAAGGTAATATAGATGCAAGTTTTGCGATTCCCAAAAAAAGAGTTTGTAATTGAATGCGGACGCTCTCACGCGCACTAACAGTATAAACATACCTACGTGTTTCAATTTTTGCGAGCTTCGAAAAATTTGTACCGGTATCCTACTAAAAATTAACCACCACTCGACACATTCACACGTACACTGCTACATACCACAGTTGTATAGTGTCACAGAGAGTGTGGTTGAAGGACTCACTGTTGAGCCATGTCAATGACTCTGCGTCTCTCGCCCCCGTGTACCGGAGGAGAGAACCTGTCCAGCCTCAGGCCGAGCCTCTGCTCGTCTGTCAGGGGCTCCTCTTGACTTACACTCACCTGGACAAGAGCACAATGTAACCTCTTCACATGGATCAATGAAAATATTTTTCTACAACAAAGACAAAAAACAACGCTTTTGAAGACATTTTCGACATCTGTAGCTAAAATGTTTCAGCAAGATTCTTTTGGGGTTCTTTGTTCATATTTACTAAACGAAGGTCATGAAAGAACACATGTTATTGGTAGTTTAATGCTATAAGGGAACAGTGCTACGGGTTATATAGACTAGAAAGAAAACACAGTACATAGGTAGGGCATGTACAGAGACTGTAAAAAAGAAGACAGTACAGATTAAGTATATACCAGGTCTGGATGTTGATCACAGAGCTTGCTGGTGGCTTTGAGGAGGACGTTTGGTTTGACTCCTGTGTTCTACATTATGGTGAGTTGTGTGATGTTAAACTATCGTGGATTAGAGTAAGGGAGAGATCTTACATACCACCATGTCCCATGCAGATACACAACTGTTTTCATTCTTCCATGCAATATACACCAACCTATATACAGTGGGAGAAAGAAGGGGGCATATTCAGTGAAAGATCAGAAGTCTAAGAGGAATATCTGAAGAGACAGACTTACGTAGCGGACACTACCTCAATGCTCAGACCTCTGCACCCCACTGCCTCTCTTCTGCAGAGCTCTTTGGCCTGCTCCACACACTGAGGAACAAGGCAAGGACAGTTCATACTCGTGATGACCAGGTACTGAGTGTATGCTGCATAGAGCATGTCGCATTGCTTCAGTGAGTGGCATCGTGTTGTGTCACCAGCCTGTGTATGGTGAACCTACATAGCCTACATAAGTCTCTTACAATGTCCGTCTTTGAAGAAGGCAGCTTCATTGCTGCTGCTTTTTTCTTTGTTTCCGTGATGAGTTTTCCCTGGCAAGACAGAACATGGGTACAGTTGGATCAAGGGTAGTTGGATCAAGGGTAACTGGTACACTCACTAGTTTCCGGGCTGAGTAGCTTTTCTCTGAGCTACATACACAAGTATGAGAGTTTGACGATACATTGGAGAAACTTACAATACTCGGATCTGCTCCTTGGAGGGCTGGTGGTGGCGACTGAAGGATGCAGGTTGGGGGTCCTGGAGATTGATCGGCGCCTCCTCGACTGCTGTACCACAACTGGTGCACACCTGAAAACGACGCAACCAATCGATGTGTGTACATGTCAGTGTGGCTGGCTCAACTCACCACTACACCGTGGGCAGAGTCTTCTTCTATATCAGTGCCCCCACAGCACGGACATGTACTGCTCTGCGCTGCAGCCATGGCCGCTACATGAGTCGCCCTCCAGCTGAGAACGTACGCAGAACGTCAGCAGGATTTTGCTGAATCATCAAAAATGTTGCGGTCAAAGGTCGCCACTCGCGAGGGATACATGGAAGAGAACGAGGGCTCCAGTACAAGTGAAGGGAGGACGAGAAAGGGGGTATTTACCATACCATCTGTGTCTGAGATAAAGAAAGCCAGTAAAGTCTCTGTCGTCACTTCGGCTCCAACTCTTTTCAAAACAGTAGCCGCCCATACCACTGTTGTACCACCACCTACCACTACCACCACTGCTGAAGCTTTGCACGAACTAAACAGACCAAAGTCTGACCAACCGCTCAATGTCACTGACAATGAGCTAGCAAATATGAGGGACAGAGATCAAAACGCTGGCTCAATTCAGAGTCGGAAGAGAGCGAGAGAGGATCCGGAACATTCCGTAGGGGTTCCACCGAAAGTAGCTGCTGGTGCTGATAATGAGAGGGTTCTACCCCAACTTGGGAGCAATCTACAAGGACCATCAATACTTCCTACTGTTGGTGGTAGTACTGCAATGGGCAGTGACAGTAGAAAGTTGTTTAGTGGAGCAGCCAGTGATGGTGCAGCCTCAGCTTCGACCTCCACATCTCTAGCCTCAGTCCATCATCCCCATGCCATCATAGCCAATCCCGTCCAGGTTTGAGAATCCCTAGGATTTACAGTGACACCTCGTTATCGTTACTTACATTAGGAAACTTAATGCACAAGCTCCTTTAAATTGCCTTAGTCTTTCAATGAGGTTACACTGTAGCTACATCATACTCTGCATGGTGTTTCTCTTCTATCTAGCGTACGTAACAGTAGTTGTTGTGTGTAGAAGAAGAATCCGGTGATGAAGCACATCCGGAACATTCCGTGGGAACTGGGAAACATTGTACCCGACTTTGTACTCGGTAGAACAACCTGCGCCATGTTCCTAAGGTCGGCGGTACAAATTCCTCTGATTAATCTCACAGCACAATGTATCATTAATCTGTTCTCATTTCTCTCAGTGTTCGATATCACTCTCTGCATCCCAACTACATCCACACTCGTCTGAAGGAGCTGGGCAAACAGTATCAGCTGAGGATCCTCCTCGTTCTAGTGGACATGGTCAGCTCTCACTGTATATATATCACTCTAATACAGTGCAACTCCTCTCTAAGGTCACCATTGAAAAGGGACAGTTTTTCTTTCCCCAAGAACAATTTTGGCATGCACTGAAATGAGGATTGGTGTCCGAATAATATTAGAGGGGTTCTGCTGTATATCTCGTTTAGAAATGGCCAGTGACCTACTGTATATAGTGGAGTTGATAGATGAGTAGCAGCGTGAACCATGACAAAGGCAGTCAATGCCTTACAATTGTGTGTTTATGTAGAAAGAGTGTCAGAAGGTGCTTCAGGATTTGGCAAAGATTGCAGTTCTAGCTGACCTGACTCTCATGCTGGCATGGAGGTCAGAGCCACTCTTGCATCCCCCCACCAATAACTGTCTAAATATACCAACACCTTTTCCACAACAAACTTCCTGAGAGTTGTTGTTTTACTTCAACAGCCTATAATGTATCACAGTCCTCCATAGATATTTCCCCACATTAAGTATATCATGGTTTAACTGTGCCCTAGGTGATAATGTGTAAAGTGAAATGTGATTTTGAATGTGCAAAGTGCTAATGTTTTGGTCTTGGTCGAAGGCTCTATACCACTATTAGCTGCCAGAGTTAGTTACATGATTAGTTGTTGTTTTTTGGCTCCAGTTATGAGGAGGCTGGGCGGTACCTGGAGACCTACAAATCTTTTGAGAACAAGCCCCCAGACATACTCATGGAGAGGATTGACAGTGACTTCTTCTCTAGAGTAAGCGGAGGAACCCAGTCACTATGTATGTATGGGAGAGACTAGATCTATATACGCATGTATCACGTGTGTAGGCAACAGAGTGTCTGACAACGGTAAAGAAGGTGAACAAAACTGATGCAGCCACTCTCCTCAGCAATTTTAAGGTAATTATATATTATTATAAGTGCTGCTACTTTTAATCTCTTAATAACACTCTTTAGACTATGGAGAAGGTAATTACTGCCTCAAAAGAAGACCTGGTTCTCTGCCCTGGTCTGGGACCTCAGAAGGTTAGTAGCAATGTTCACTGATAATGGCTGTGAGTGAGTGTGTGTTCATGTTTCCAGGCTCACAGATTGCATTCCCTGTTCCACCAACCATTCAAGACGAAAGATCTGGACACAAAATGACTATAGAGTATCTGCTATTTTTAGTACATAACAAACTTGAAGTGGGTGGGGTGTTCTATTTATAGCTTGCGCTGTAAATGCATGCGTGTGGGAGGAGCTGGTATGAATGTATAGGGGGGTGTGTGCTCCACTTTATTTATGCGAGCTAGAGATTGTCTGCCGCGGAGCAAGAAGCTGGATTTTTCGCGATCAAGTCACGGTCCAGAGCATCAGTAAAGTCATAATGGGTGAGTTACTATCACTGTATATAGCTATAGCTAACGTGTGCGAACACAATCATTGCACGACGTAAGCTAATGCCCTACTTCTCTGAGCGAGGACCTCCAGCTAGCCGCTAAGCTATGCGTCGTTTAGCTCCGACATCCAAACATAGCGCGTAGACCTACTAGATCAGCAGAGCGGCTGCAGTCATCCAATGCATCCTGAATTCCGCAATCATTTTCTAGAGCCTTGCTCCTGTCTTTCAATGCTCAATAAAGGAGACTGACGCGTGGCCCGTGCTGTCTCCCCACTGGCATTGAGAGGGCTTTGCTGTTAGCAGATAATAGTCTGACTAGTCAATACGTAGAGCTGAGTGACAAAGGACACTTTGCTCCCACTTCTTACTCAAAGAGGGTGAAATGGAGCCTCAGTTTCTGCATGTAGATGGCATAATATCCAGTTACTCGTTTGTAGTTTCCATCCATGAATATTACATATGTACCTTTAAAAAACCTGTACAATTGGGTGAATCGTATGTACTTGTACTGAGTATAATACTGATGAGTTGTGCATGAGCTGTAGAGAAAAAGGAATGATGACTTGTGAGCTATATGGTTGGCAGCACCTATTAGCAGCATCACACTTTATGTACATGGCAGTGTACTTGCATCTTCGACTGATGCACCTATCGATTAGTCCATCTCCCATGCGCACACGCACACGCTCTCTCTCTCTCTCAACTTTTAGGAAGCTGCAGCAAATGCTGCAAGGTTTGCTGCTACAGCACTCCATTTGGAACCATCTCTGCACTGAGCGTGACTGTAGTAGGTCTGGTGGGCTTTCTCTCCTCCTCTATATACGGTGTAGTAATGGTGGATGCCAGTGAAGACTTGCAGAACCAGTGAGTGCATGTAACTCTATACTTGTGTGGACATTTCGCCCAATAAGTGACTGAGACCTGTGTTAAAATGGTTGTAGTCTAGCCTGTGGTGTGCAAAGTATGTCTGATGGTTTGTAGTAGCTGTGAACATACAATACTGTGTAGCACCCCAGACCAACAAAAGAGCAGTTGGCATGCAATAAGATGTTGGGAGGCTCCGGCAAACAAGGTGAGGGGCTAGGCCGCGGTTACGGCATAATCAACTAACCGGCAGTTACAATCCTGTTACCACTCAAACAGGCTGGTAGCTCATGGGAACAGGTGGCTGCCAACCTGAATATCTAACTTAGGGTGGGGCATCTCATCTGCTGTACCACAGAAATGTATGATGCGTTCTATACATCGTAAGGAGCTGAGTAAGAGTAGATATAGCACTTAGCTGTTATACTTAATTTTCCGGCACACACCATCAAGCCCTAGAGGATCACCAATAAAAGTATAGGTGAAAGATGTTGCTAAGAGTCTAGATGTTGTTCAGGCAAGGTGGTCTGGTTAGGCACTAATGGCTATAGTCCATCCTCCAGACTCTCCCACTGTAGCATTTGTCTTGTTAGTGACAGGTCATTGGTCCCCACTAGCACATCTACCTCCAGACAGTTATGGTGCATTGACAGTAAGGTGTCGCCACATCAGCTATTGCACATTTGGAAGGTATATGCTTTAGCTCTTGCAAATTTGGAAATCGTTTCTCGTCCACACAGTATGACTGTGAATATGCTATCCTGACTATGTCGTGGCTAATTGTGTGTTTCTTTCAGTCAATTAGGTTTAATTATAAGTATAAAATGCAGTGACATAGACACATTCCTTTGAGCAGCATCCACCCTATACTACGTGCATTTTATTCACTTACCCCTCCCACCTTAAATCATGTTGTTCCAACCCCCCTCCTTCTCTTCACCCTCAGTACAGTAATACTAGCTCCACTGGTAGGAGGTGTGGCAGGCAGCACAATCCTACCTCTACTCCTGGCAACTCTACTAGCCTACTGCTCCACTGGATACGTCCGCGATGAGCTCTACCATCCACTTGTCAAGGCCTGCGTCGGGAGCTTCTGCAGCTCACTGGTTAGTCCCTCTGCTCCTGTCACATAATTGCTGTAGTTATGCGGTACATTGGGTGGGCACGAATCGCTGCATTTCGCAGTAACTTTAGCACAAAGTATGGTGCATAGAACAAATTCCAACACAAAGGCAAGAATGGTGTTCTCTCATGTAGCACTTGCTTTTCATCTGCAAGTCATCCTTGTTTGTCCTCTCCACTCTGGCTAATAGTGAAAATAGTTCAGCAGTCGCACACTGTTTTTCCTGTTGGTTTAGCTCACGGTATTACACTCGTATTTACTGCAATACTTTACACACGCTATTATTGAGACACTGAGAAAATGTGTTTCCTTGGGTCAACACTTGTGTCTGCAGGTGATTGTGTTGACGTTCTTCTACCTGGTTCTGTGGCTATGTTTCACCGTCCTCTATACTATGATCACGACGGTCTACGTGCAACTGAGTCTCGGCTGCAGGGAGTACGATGACAGGAGGAACCTTGGAAAAACATGCACTCGACTCTATGAAGCCAGTGAGTTATTCACACGTATTGCTCAAATGACACTATAGATCCATAGATTTATAAGACCACATTACAGCTTAATTTGACACTATCAAAGTGAAATGTACACTTAAAGGGAATGTACATAATGGCTAATGTTACTAAAAAAGTGCAGGAATGCAATTAAGTTTCTGTTTTTAGCCATAATTAATTATTATTCCATATGAACTACATGCCACCGCTAGCGAACACAACCCCTGAATGAATGGCATTATTTAGGATGTTCTGCTGTAGATAAAAGCCTCTGGTTATTGATGATGCTGCATCGAAATGCAATGCTTCTCACTGTAGCTGATGATGTGTACATTCAGTCGTGTGGAAAGATGGACTCTATATGCTCTGATGTAAGTTGACTCCATGCCAGAGGCTTACGCATCCCTCAGCAGAGTACATATGCATTATGATCACTAGCCAGTGTATGTGTCTGTCTTTAATGGTGTTTGTCTACTATTAGCAACCACTCTATCACTCCAAGATATTGTACACAAGTCCACTCTCCACATCAAAACCCTGCCTTGATTACTATGCAAGACAGGTCGCTACTGAACCTCTGTGATGTGGTTGTTTGTGACATGCAGGGTCAGAAGGTGGGACTCTCACTCTCCATATCACTCGCATTTGCACTGCTGGTGGTGATCGGTCTGGTAAGCCATGCAGCATTCAGCTGTTTTTGGTCATTGTTTTTCCTGAAAATTCAGTGCCTCAACTATGGGAAAGAATAGTGAATTGCAGTGACCATTTGGTATGAGTGTTACAGTTTATAGCGAATCATGAACTATCAAGTTGAAGGCACCATAAACCTCTATGTTCTCCATCATAAAAGTTAATCCTCTCTCTGCCTAATCAGTTTGCATACTATTGTCTATGCTTTCATACACGCAGGCTCTGGTTCTCATAGTGCAGTCCGCCAACTTCATTCGAGTCAGGGAGTGTGAGAAGAGGAGCTATAGACCAAAGGGAGACTACTAGCTAGCCTGTGTGGATTGATTATGTTCTCCCTTCTCATACCCTGTGTAACCCACCAGTTCAAAACTTCACAAACACCTATATATTCACTTATGACTTGTGCTTCACTTGTCTTGCATACGTACGCATGCGCACTATCGAAGCGGAATTGCGCATGCGCATATTTCAGGGGCGTGTGCATGCGCTGTATAGGCGTGGCTTGTGTGTGTAGAGCTAGCTGCGCTCTACTCACTCAGTACTACTGTAGTTCGCTCCCCCACCAGCTGGAGTCACCCCGCGATCAGGGCAAACACAGAGGCTGAAGGACGGCAATCTGAACGCAGGATGGGCTGTGAGTAGACTGTTTGTTTTATCCCGTCATGTTTTGCACGCAGTGTTATTTTTCGAGCGCGGTGCCATCTCTCTAACCCCCTGCCGAGTGTCCTGCATTCCTCCGTGTGCAGCGACAGGTGTATATCTCGTTTGGCTTCCCAGAGGCAGCCACTCATGAGCTAAATTAGGTTACTTGGCACCCATCCTCGCTTCGTCAGTTGGGGCGTGGGGACTCCTCATTTGCTACCCTGCCAAGCCTTATAAACCAGCGCGCAGAGAGAAAATGAGCACAGAAGAAGGCGAGCAAGAGTTTGGGGAAGGGGAAAAGTTTGCAGAGGCTGAGCTGGGGGAAAATTTTGCAGAGGCTCAGTTGGGAGAAAATCTTGCAGAGGCTAAGCTGGGAGAAAATTTTGCAGAGGCTGTTGGAGAGCCAGAAATAGTTGCTATGGGTGAAAACGGTGACGTGAGCAGTCCTGCACCGCAGGTTGGAGCTGCCTCGAGCGAACCAAGACTGCTGTGGTCTGCCTACAAGAGTTTCCATTCCGTCAAATGTAGGCTCAATAGCCCAGCTGTGAAAGCCTCAATTTGTGTTTGACATTCATCCGTGATGTGTGGGAGCATGCAGGGGTCTTTCGGACTCTAGCAGGCCAGAGAGGAGGAGATAGTAATTAGCTATGCCGCCAATGAAGACCGCTATTGTGACTGGTTGTTTGTATCGTGTCAAGGTTTATTGCGCTGCCCAAAACAGCACGTGTTTGTTGCACATGTCAGTACTCACCCAATGAGCTGTGCAACTGCACAAATCTTTCCGGCTATGAATATGGATGGCTGACCCACTACAGCTCCTGCAACCTGTGTGCAAATAGCAACCCAAGTATTAGTTTTTCACTACTGCGAGCTTGGGGATTTTTTTTCTGTCTTACTGAAACTGCACACAGTTTTAGCTGCTTGCAGCATGAAAGATGTTCTACTAGTTCGACCTCATTTTTCTTTGCATAATGTTTCAACTGCATACTCTGCAGGTGAGGAATGTTGCAGAGACTGCTGTTACAGCACACCGTTCATTACCCTGGGGACCGTCTGCTACATTACCCTCAGCCTCCTAGGGTTCACCATCTCATCCATCGTGGGCACTGTCCAGCTTAGCTCTGTCCCACACCTTGAGAATGGGTGAGCACTAGTGTAGCTACAAGCAAGCCCATAGAATTTGTTTGTGATAGTTCAACCAAAGTAAAGTATTTATGCACCTCAGTGTTTTAACACAGTGAAATATGTATATCCTTTTGCATATACACCTTTCTAATTTGGGCTGTGCTATATATAGCTACTACACAGCACTTTATGATGCGTAATGAAACTTAAGACTGTTGTTTTCATGTTCAAGTGCTAGGCGAATGCCCGAGATGCTTTTTCATTAGTATTCATCAACACTGGTACAATCCGGAACAAACAAGCTGTTGTTGAAAGTAGAGTAACTGGTCAGTGTGCACACAAACAGAAGGGGTCCTTGGGAACCGATGCTATAGCTACAATGCCTGCCTACTTTGTATATTATGGCCTATACTACAATCCAAAAGGCATATATAGAGTGTGATTGAAGTGAATGGTGAATAGGGATTGATGCTACAACAGTGGGCATTACTGCTGTGTGTATGCCCAAAACTCTGCCTCTGTCAATCTCCTGGTAGTACCTGATATGGCTAGCGGGCGATTGCTACATGTACAAGGAATGTCAACTTTTGCGTTTGTTTTCCTTTGTTGCGTTTTGCTATAAATGGACATGGAGGTGGTAACCTACATAGCTAGTGTGCACTTTTAAGATGTCAATGGTGATGTGCAAACAGTGTTAAGCAAAGCATTGTGTTTTTACACAAAATGAGGTCTTTTACAACAGAACCCATTCAACAGAGGGCAAAATAAAGGATACGCCAGTATGCTTGACTCTTGGCCTGCCTCGACCTAATGATGCCTGCACAGACATCTAATCTTCCAGAAAAGCTAACAATATTTTTGGTTAACCACAGAATTTGTTTGACACAAACGATTTAAATGGGGCGTGACGCTCTAAACAATAAAGCGTAGTCCCGAGCAACTATGGGGTTATTGTCACTCAAAATGCCAGGGGAATGCGAGGGCCTTGGCTCTGTGCTTACAATCAGCACGTGTGGCGCGAAAACTCGGTGTGCCCTCATGAGGGCGTGTAGGGTTGTGTGTGTTCCTCCCTGGATTGGGCCAGCCTAACTTCTCTCATACTGCCCACGCCGGTACCCACTCCCTCTCCTGTCAAGTATCGTCGCAACTTGGCAACCTACAACCCTTGACTGCTTCGCTGTTCACCCACACATTCGTGAGATATGGGTGTGTGTGTGTGTGTGCATACCAGCGCTGAACTTCAAAAAATGACCTTCCTACCTACGTAAATATCAGACTGACATACAAGTGTAGGCAAACTGGAGTTGTTTCTCTGCCATTGAATGTGGGTGCAGCTTGAAGATGAGACCAGCCAGAAATTATTGGACAGCCTGATTGTTTTGGTTACTGATAACTCAATCTCACAGTCCGCAATGAACATACATAATGGCCATTCATATTATTCAATGTCATTCACATAAACTAATGTCTTAAACGTGCAGTTTGCTTATAAAAGGGGATGCACGTTTAAGAGAAAAGTGGCAATGAGTCAATGTATTACAGTGGAAGCGTTTATAATGGCCACAATGTGTTTAAGGGCAAGTAAACTTTCTAATAAGGACCACCATGTACACCCAGTGTGTCATTTTCCCACTTTCCTGGCAGCAATGGGTGATCACTTCAAAGTATAATGGACGCTCCAAGTTAACACATTCAATTCGGTGTGTAATCATCTGGATGAAAAAACGGTCTCAGAATGTCTTTTATTCACTGTATCGCTGTCCTATAAATTGCTCTGTGCAGTACTGTCTTTTATCCACTGTATCGCTGTCCTATATAATTGCTCTGTCCAGTACTGTCTTTTATCCACTGTATCGCTGTCCTATATAATTGCTCTGTCCAGTACTGTCTTTTATCCACTGTATCGCTGTCCCTATAATTGCTCTGTCCAGTACTGTCTTTTATCCACTGTATCGCTGTCCTAATAATTGCTCTGTGCAGTACTGCGCTTATGGCTCCAGTGGTGGCGGGAGCAGTTGTGGGGACCATTCTGCCCATCCTGGCCGCCACCATTCTGGCCTACTGCATCACTGGCTACATACGAGATTCCCTCTTTGGAGGAACCGTCAAGAAGTGCATTGGACCATCGTGCAACATACTGGTGAGCACTACGCTAAATACGTTAGTCAACGTGTGTTCTTCACTCTATTAAATTGTGCTGCGTCGTACTGCACAACACTTAGAGGTCTTTTTTGTGGGACCGTTTAATAATAATAACCCTTTTTGGAGTTCAGTTTTTTAAATGTACACTATAGCCAAAATTATCTTCGTAAAACAGCAGTACAGTCACAGCAACAAGTGTCCATATCTCAGCTTTCTTGTGTAAAGAAAATGTTGTCCTTCCAGAAAGGTGTCCTCATTTTCAGGGGTGTCCCTAGAAGGGGGTTACGCTGTATGTGCCTTGCCTACTAACACACATTATGGAGGTGTTAATCTGGACTTTTGAGCCGGTTGGCCTCTGAAAGACCTTTTCCAAGAATTGGTCAAAAGAAAAGTGTTGTTAGCACTCAGGGATAGAACAGGTGTTGTGGAGTTGGTCTAAGTTGTAGATTGGCGCTGGTTTGCTGATGTTGGCCCTGACAGCCGACTGAGGCATGTCTGTACACACACACATTTCTTGCTTAATTTACCAGTAATGTCCAGACGTAACAGTTTGATTACACTCTCTAAGACGGCTGTATATACATTTGCTAGAAGGCCCCCATATGTTTTTACCACTTACTGCCACAAAATTTGTATGCACGTATTTCACACATAATGTATATATAGCCGCACTCAGGGTTGTTAAATTAGAAAATAATTGTGAGTTATTGCATTGTTTGCTGTGCCCGAACAGTGTTTGGTGTTATGGTTACGGTGAACTAATTCTGTGGGTTTATAGAGGTGTTTGTCAAAGCCGTGGGGTTGCTATATTGATACGTGTGTGCCAGTTCTTACAAAAGCAGAGAGAAATCGGCCCATTATACTGCATTGACTTCATACCAATGGCATGACCTGAAGGGTAACTGACTTGGCTCTCCCACTCCAAACAGGTTGCCTTACATCAGCCCAAAAATCACACACATGTTCATAACATAGCCCATAGCTTTAAGCCACTTGGTAGCTTAGACGAAAAGCAACACTCACATCTATATATAAATCCCATAGTGACCTCATCTTTCAATTAAGCTTTCCCAGGAGAGAGCACTAGCCAGACATATCTTGATCTGATCAAAATATTTTACCAATATATTTGATTGGAAGCTATAGGCATGAGCTCACAGGCATAACTAGGTGTATAAAAAATAAAAAGAAAAAAGTACGTAAAAAAGAATAGGCAAACGTGTGTTAACCAAACAACGAAGCATACCCAATGCTAGAGGCATGTATTGACAAGCAATGTGTGTCCTCTTCCTACAGACGATGGTGTTCACGTTCTTCTACTGTGTGGTGTGGATGCTGATAGTTGCCGGATTCAGCGGCGTCCTCTTCTACCACATCCAGGCCAAACTGGTCTGCAACGAGTTTGACGGGGATTTACCCATGGGCCTCGACGACCCTGGCAACTGCTTCCACTACGCTGACAAAGGTGCGTATGGCTTGCCTACAAATAGGAAACTCGCACTGCTCCGTGCTCTGACTTAAAAACACCGACTTTTAAATTCATGCCCAGAATCTTTATTTCATTTCTATTGCTGTTGTTCTAGTAGTCCAGTCTTTTGAAAAGTCGTCTTGGGTATAGTTGAGTTATCAGGGTTTCAATTGCCTCGCGTTATAAAACTTTGTGACTCAAGCATCAATTTTCTATCAGCAATATATATTTTCGTCCTATGGATTTCTATACTTTTCCCGTGCAGATTTCAAGTACACAGCAATATGTGGAGGAGACGGACTGAAAGAACTGTGCAATGAGGTAAGAATCTCGTTTGGCACGCCGTCCATGGAACACCAATAGAGGGCTGGGCAACCACCACTTACCAAACACTTCTTCTCTATTCACACAGAAATCGAGTCTCACGCAAGGCATGCGTTTTTGGTGTGTGAAAGTTTGCTAATACTTACACCACACACCCAAAACGTTGTATGCAAAAAAAATGTGTCACTGCTACCTTAGTTGGGCAAATAGTGGAGTATTTGTACTAAGCAAGTGATGCTGGGTTAGCCCAAAGTTGACATTGACGGTGTGTTCGTATTCTATGCTGTGTTGGTGTGTACCCACAGGGTCTGAAAGTTGGTCTGTCGTATGCAGTGGCTCTCATATTTTCATTTCTCGTGGCAATTGGATTTGTAAGTGTCCAAACCTTTCACTACATGTGTCACACACACACAAACGTGAATGGAGGAAATTCAACACCTGTGAATATTGAACTGCTCGCTTCGCTAGCCAAGTTTAATTTTGTTCCAGTATAGTATTCTATGCCTTAAACTTATAACACACCAGGTGGTATTGCTGGTGGTACAGACTGCCAACTTTGTGTCTGTTAAAGACAACCTCGAGTACCGCAGAGGAGCCAACTACAACCGCTCCACTTCGGACGACGGAATAAACCTCAAGCATCGCTGAACTATCACCACCACAGAGGCCACCACTTTTGTTACCATCACATTAATAGACAGCCATACATTTCAGAACCCAACGCACACATCATTGATCAGAGGGCTTATATTTGCCATTTTGCATGAGTTTTAGATAGGTTTTTTCTTCGTAGGCTGAATCACATGTATACACACCACTGGCAGCATATTTGAGTTATGTAAGCGGCTTTTGCTGACACGTTGTTTATCTAGTGACACGACATTGTGGACACAGTCCATTGTTTATATACACATACACACACCAGTGAGTGTCCTTTATTGGTTTGTTATGCGTTTTACTATTGAGGCTGTCCCTTTAATTGCTTATGCTCACAGAGCTACATCGGTCTCTTGCCTGTACTAACACTCGCTAATGTGGGTCCAGTGGTATTGGTAGGTGTGGTCTTGCTCTGAGTGGGTGTGGTCTTGTTCTGAGTGGGTGTGGCAGGGGGAGGAGTCTTGTAGAGTCTGATGTGTATGGCTGAGCTGGGCCTGGTCTGAGTCTTGAAATCTGATTCCTGTACGGGAGAATGGGATTATGACTACTTGCCTTTTCTCCACCGTACAGCATGAGGGAGAAAACTATATATCACTGTTATAAACCGCTTTCTCTATGAAATGTTGAGGAAGATTCTAAGCAATCCACAAAAGTTTTTCTCTGCAATTTTTTGGGTTTGTGTTTTTCTCAAAACTTTCCTGTTTTAATTATTACACTACTGTACTCCTCACATCATCCAGAGGTTCGAGGTCATCAACCAACTCCACTGTTGAGGTTGTGCATGACACCTTTGAATCAACCAGAGTGACAGAAAGAAAATTTTCCCGAGTCTGACATAATTATTGCTTTTGCATGATAAAACTGCACATTTTTGTGCACACACTGAAAAAATTGTAGATACTAAGCTGGGTTCACAATAATTACATCAGACTGCATGATACACTATGAGAATACATAGCTATCCATGCGACAGTAACCTCTCTACGAAAATTGCGCAATCCCCAAGCATAAGATTAAGGCGAATCTTGATGTGACACATATGTACGTACTTCAAGAGAGTGGCTGCTGGTCTCTTTCAGCTGCAGGGCCAGGTTTATGGCCCTGTGAATGGCAGCACCCAGCCCATGGATAAACAGCTCCTGAGCCCTATTGCACAGAGGAGCACGTAAGTAGCTATAGAAGTGTGCAACTGCTGTGTATGGATGACTGTATAAGCTATACCCTTGATCCAAGAGTTTGTGACTTCTAGCCAGTTGACCGGAAAAGTCAGAATTTCTGTTGACGTAGATGTCGTTAGGTCTCTGAGACAGACGCTTCGGCGGGCGCTTTCTCCTCACATCTTGGTAAACACACCGGTAGTGTGGGAATATAAACACGTAGCGCAACTTACAAGACTGCTCCTTCTTATCTGATCTTCTCTTTCCCTTTGCGTTTGCTCTCGGGGAGAGTTCTTGCCCCGTAGAAGAGGCTACAGCCGCTGCTTGAGCTTGCACGGGGCATTCACCTCCCTCCTCCGCCATCATTCTAAATATCGCGCACCGCAGCACGTGTAAACTAAGATGCACTTTGCACCCTATTTGCAAGCGAGGCGATGAGGGGATGGCTGACGTTTTGAGTGGCAACGTTCGGTCTCTGCACGAGGCGCTGCGCTCCAAGTCGCCGCACAGGGCCGAGAGAGCTGCACAACTGGCCACCGATCTCTACCAGCTGTGCGTGGAGAGCGTTAGCGACACTGAAAAGGGTTTGTTTCCCGCGCTCTCTGCGGTAGTGTGTGTAGTATAAGCGTAGTAGTCCCTTTTGTTTGTGCGATATTTGCTGATTTGTATTTTTTTACGCAGCGTACTGTTCATCTGTGCTTTTTGACAAGACCAATGGAGTTCTTGAATTTCTTCGTGGATCTGCCACTGTGGATGAGGTATATATTCAGTTGCTTACTGGATTGGAGAATCATACACCTTAAATGAGAGAATAAGAGGTTTCTCTCATTTGAGGTGTGTCTTTATAAAAGGTTTCTCTCATTTGAAGATTTACACCTCAAATGAGAGAAACCTCTTATAAGGACACACCTCAAATGAGAGAAACCTCTTATAAGGACACACCTCAAATGAGAGAAACTTTTATAAGGACACACCTCAAATGAGAGAAACCTCTTATAAGGACACACCTCAAATGAGAGAAACCTCTTATAAGGACACACCTCAAATGAGAGAAACCTCTTATAAGGACATACCTCAAATGAGAGACACCTTTTATAAGGACACACCTCACACCCTTAATTAAAAGCCACTAAAAGTAATGTGCACACCCTACAGTCTGAAAATGAAGACACCTCCAATAAAAAGTGTTTTGAACCACGAACTCTCCTGTTGGCATTATTTTAGACAGGCCCCTACGAGGAAACCACCTCCAATAGTTGTCATATTGGTGTCCCAGATTAGAGAGGTTACACTATAAGGTCATTCCTGCATTCTCTGTGATTATGAGCTCATTTTCCAGTTTGCCACGGCACAAGAGGAGCTGCTGCGACTGTTGAATGACTATACCAAGATCCTACGGAGCAAGGCCCTGCCTTATGCTCAAGACATAAAGGTCTCATCCACTCACAGTCTGATACATGATAGGGCGTAAAATATTTGCAGCATTAAAATTCAGGTTTGTTGAATGTGTCACGATAACCCCCACTTGTTTACCTATGCTTTAACAATTTTGCAACAACCAGTGAAAATTATGTATCTGCAATTTTGAGTGAGTGCAAAAACTTTTGCAGGAGGTCTGCTCCAGTCTTTTCTCTCGTGCAAAAGCCAGCAAAGTGAAGAATGCCACATTTCCACCTCTCATAACAGTAAGTTCCCCATTGCATCGTAGTATGTAGTAGCCCTCTTTGAACCCTCCCTGCTGAGCTGCCTTGGTGGCTCAGTTGGAAGAGCTTGCTGCCTATAGAGGGCAGAGTGTCCTGGGTTTGAGTCCGACCCAGGGCTATATGTCGTTGAGTATTGCATGCCTTGCCTTTATACTCTACTTGTGCCATTTATATTGGGATTTGTTGGTACACCTAACTTTTACTCTGCCAAAAACCGTAGTTAGGACTCAGGTTTTTTTGGTTACGATTGGCTATTTTCCTTCCAAAGGTTCTGGAGCTGTGTGCTGGCACGTCTCAAGTGGGGGAATTGAATGTGCCGAAACTGGTCGACAAGTATCTGCAGGCTTGCTTCAAGCCAACCAAACACACTGCCACTGGTCAGCTTCACACCTTTATACCAACAACTTTGGTTTTATGCTATACAGTGGAACAATCCTGACAGCAATGTGACGAAAGAATGTGCCCATATTAGTGAGGTGTCCTTATTTCAAGTTGCATGCAAGAACTGTTCTTTGGGAAAGAAAAGGTGTCCTTATTAGAAAGGTGTCCTCGTTTCAGGGGTGTCCTAAGGGGTGGGTTAGTTCTCTATGTAGCTAGTCTCGCACAAGAAGCTGTACAGGTATTATGGGATTGTACCAAACCAAGACCAAGAGAAGTGCCTCTTGAAGCTCACCGCACACACACTGCTGTAGAGCTAATGTACGTACATTCTCAACACAAGTGGACTCCAGGGTTGTTTCCCTGTGCTGTGTCTGTTATTTCCCTCAGTCCGGGCTGGAATATTTCACCTGCTGGGGCTGTTCTGTGAACTCTATCCAGAGCACTCCCTCACACTGTCCGAGAGACTTATCAGCATTTTCATGAGAACTCTGAAATCTGAGGTACACTATTCGCTATCGGCTCCATAACTCTTTTGAATGGTGGAAATCTTGTTCACAAACCTACTTATTTTTCATGTTAACAAACGGTGTATGTATTGTTGTAAAAAAATAGCAGTGCCCCGAAAAAAATTGGGGGAAAATGTCTTTATACCAGTAAAATTTTCACTATACTCAATTAACGCTCTCAATGACTGTATTACATCATCAGATGTTGTCCAAGAGTAAAAAGCCGGAAATGGCGGTCATCGGCGGCTGTCTTCGTGGACTAAACTCGTACCTCGTGAACTTTTCGCAGTCTGCTGCGGAGGGCTCTGAGCATGCTCAGAACATTTACAAGTTTTCTAAAATGGCCATCGACCCGAAGGTGTCCCACTCAAGATACGAAGTCCCTAGAGGTATATATGTATATATCTGAACTCATTCACATCTATAGGCAGTGTGTAGAGACTTATGGATTTTATACTATCTAACGACCGAATGGTGAAGTCATATTTTGTGGCGTAATCTGATTGGTTGTTTTGCCAGATATCCGTACATATTGGCTACACATGTTGCAAAGAGCATTATTGTTTGAAGCACAAAAAGCTAGGACTGTCTACCATTGTTTGTGTGTGTTTCAACAGTTGTTGTCTATCCTCCTGCATTATAGCTGGACTGTCTATCATTGCAAGACACGCTGCACAGTTTAAGGAGTACCTCGCCAAGGACCACGAGGTAAACTACTCAATATGCCACTCTGACAATGCAGCGATATATACCTCTCTCCCTCAATTTCATATAGCTCTAAATACTCCCAGAAATCATCAAATCCACCTTGGATTCTTGAAGTATTTCTTGCCCCAGACCTTGATCAACTTGTGCACTTGTGCTTACAAACCTCCTAACATTCACACCAAAAGTCGAAGAATTTGATTTGTACGCATGAATCTCTGCAGTGTTTCATGAGGTGTATGTATAATTTGACTCCATTTGTTGCAGCACATGTACGAGGTCCTCTACCACTGGTGTGAGCACACGAACCGGGAGAACAGAATGGTCGCATTCCTTGCTCTGGAGGCTTTCCTTCAACAGGTATATACGTATACCATGAACACCACGCTCAAATTTTTTGCCTGTAACTAAAACCTTTTGTTGCTCAAATTTTTAGCCTTGTGACAGAAACCTTTGTGAATCCCGTATAAGCACACATTATTTTCACTAGGTGTCAGTCCACATTGTGGAAGGTGGGGATGGGAAGGACCGGCAGACGTATGCCCCTGTCTTCAGGGACTTCATTAAGAAATTCAGAGCCATCATTGACAACCCTGTCAGCGGCCATCGCGAACTCACTGTTGCCATCAAGGGCTACGGCTACTTTGCAGCTGTAAGCAGAACATTTTTCGAGTTGCATAGTCACAAATCCTTCGTAAATTTGCCCATTTGAAAGTCATCTCTGAGCAAAATTTTGTTGGTTGGGCCATTATGTTTGTGGTTGATTTTGTGAGGTGGGCAAAGTTTTTTGTTACCAAACCACGAACACTTCTTTATGAAAACTGAATTTCTCATAATTATTCGGTCATGTGAATATGTATACCTATAATGCTGTATGCTACAGACAGACGGACACATTAACGAACCAAGTACTGTAACCCTCGCTGTGCATGCGTGCTGAGGGTTAATTACATAAATTTGACAATATGACAATTTCTAGCCGTGCAAGCTGTTTATGAAGAGTGAGGATATAAACTTCATGTTTGGAGAGATGGTTCAGCGGAGTGAGCACCTTTTCTTCACCTCCCTGAGTGGGTCTGAGGACCGTGTGCATCATCTTCCTGCTCTACTGGAGGCCCTTGCCAGCATTGTCAGAGAGATGGACACTGTGAGAGGGGGGAGGGAGGGGAGGGAGGGAGGGAGGAAGGATATGTATGTAGCTTTTCTTTTATAAAAAGTGAGGGAACATTACTCCATGAAATATTTGCTGCCATTTTGCTATAGCCAGCAACAATAAATTATATTGTCTCGTGCATGTGCATGAACACAAGCATAGCATTTACGTTTTCGCCAATTTTTTGGCTCTAATGGTATCCATTTCACCTGTAAGTATTGCATGCATATATAGTTGTATGCCTCAATAATGCACTGCATTCAGCCGAAATGGTCATTTCTCTCGCAGTTGTCTGAAGCCTTCCTGTCGTCCCTGGAGAAGCTGATGGTGTTGCTGTTCGAAGTTCTGCCACGCCTCCCGCCCGACCTACAAATGCCCACCTACTATGCCGTTATGAGACTCATTCTGGGCGTGGCCGCCAACCGCAGCGCCCTCAAGAGCTTCCTCTCTCACGTCGGTTCGCAAGTTACCATCTTACATTGTTTCGCCACTTTTGTGTGGCAATTTTCCCCATCTCTGCTTGGTTCACTTTTATATCACAATTTCCTCTCTCACATGGGTTGGCTTTATGTAGCAAATTCTTCCCTCAAATCTGTTTGGTTCGTATGGTGGTAATTTCTCACTATTCTGGTTTGCTTTTGTGTACCAGTGTAAATTTGGCGCGCATGCGCAGCAAGGGTTACAGTAGTTGGGTCTGTGTGTGTGTTACTCTCAATCTCACTTCTCGAGTATTCGTTCGTCTCACAAAGGATACCACCTACTGAACGGGCAATGAAGGTCAGAAATTTCGAACGGTTTTCTCTGAAAACGCTCCGTTGCAAAGCTAGAGCGCTTCCACCATTGTACGGCTAATGCGTAGTCGGCCATTTTTATGGCTGCGGAAAATGCGCATGCGCTTTATAGTTTAACCTCGACCGGGTCTGCTTGCTCTGTGTATCTTGAAAGTATACAAGAAGTCACAACGAACGGAATTTTTTTATTATGCAGTGTATCAAGGACTGATACGGACATGTTCACACCCAGTCGTCATTCAAGTTGTGAGTAAAAAGAACGCACAATTGTCACCATCGGCATTACCCAACGATGGTTAATTTGAAAAAACTTAGTGAAATATTCACAGAGTATATAGATCCCTGTCCATAGAAATTGAAGACCTTTTCAGGTGATAATCATCCCTCAAAATTCTGTTGTCCTCCGGGGCAGCGGGATCTACTGAAAATAGATCCCGCGTTTTGACCAATGAAATTGCACGATTTCAAATCACCAGGATCTAACCTTATCTATCTCTATCTATTTCGTTGTCCCTTCACCCCCTCTCACCCCTACCACAACAAGCTTCTGCTTTGAATGTTTTCTCTGCTATAATATTTACTGTACGTATATATGTGGTTTGGTCTAGGGAGATGGTAGTGTGGTGGTAGCAGTGGGCGATGGAGGAGGAGCTGGGGGGAGAGAGGGGGAGAGGATGGACATCGGGGACAAGAAGCAACCCTCCTACATGGACTACGTTCAGATGTGGCGACACATCATGGACCCTTCCAAACTCAAAGTTAGTGTGTGCCTGCGACTGAGTGTTTCAGCTCTTGAAGCTCTTCTGCATACTGTATTAGTAGGTGCTTTTTCTTACTGAGCACAGTGAAAATGAGGTAGCAAACTGCAGCTACGAAGTGAAAAAATTGTAGAATTGACTCTTTTTGGCAACTCATACAATGATCAAAAAATGGCTGTTGCCTCATTTCGGGATAATTGGCCAGCGAAGCTAGCCTACCTACAATGTAATTCTTCTATATGTGACTGGCGCAGACGAGCACTGCATGTACCGTAATAGTTTACGTGATTCTAAATACGCACACGAAAAATTGAGCTACTTGCATTCGCTTGCCAAAAATGTGTTGTCTATGTATTTTCTTTCTCTGTCAGGGTATCCAGATGAGAGACCCAGCACTGTGGTCCGCCCTGCATCAGTTGATATATGACGAGGTCATCGGCTCAGTGTTGAAGATCATACGTCGTCTCAACCTCTCAGCGACCACGTCCTTCGCCAGCGAAGAGGTATTTTGTGCACTTTGCAGTGTCGGGTTGGTGAGCAAGCGAGCCGTAGTTCATCGTTTTTCCTGTCTGCCACTTAACCGTGCCCCTAAGGTAATGTTTGTGAGCCAATGGTGCTAACAAGGATAGCTTATGTCTCTCCAGTGGCGGATCTAGGATTTTGAAAGGGGGGTACCGCTGTTCAGAACGTTTTCGACTGCGCTCGTGCGCGCGCACGAGGCCGGCGGCGGCGCATGCGCGCAAAACTACAAAAAGGGGGGTTCCGCGGAACCCAAGGAACCCTCCTGGATCCGCCACTGCTCTCTCTGTTTCAGGAACCAATGTCTCCATCCTCTGCATCACTACCTGTCGTCCACGTGGACCCTGTGACCGGCCTCCTTCCCTCCGTCCCTCGAGATTTCCAGATCTTCATCAACCTTGTCGACCTGTGCAGGTGATCTTCCTTGCTCCCTCTACTCCAGTGGTCGCTAATTGCTTTGTGTCAGAGATACAGCGAAATCCCTCTCCTTTTAGAACTGCTCTTGCATGCAAAGAGCACCTAACTAACGTGGAATAATGTGGACACTTTCTATTCAGCTCCATTGATGTGTGGTTAATGGGTTCCACTCTAGTATAAAAGACTTGGTGAACAAGCGACCTTAAGTATTGTACATGTACTGTGTCCCTTGCGATAGCACTGGTGTCAGTTACGGTAGGCTTGCTTTTTCTGGCCTATGTGTGCGTGCATGCGTGCGCGTGTGTTAATAGTTTATCTGTGTGCAGGTCACTCCTACCAGAGGTGGATGCGGCCATGTTTGAACAGTGGGTGCTGCCGTTTGGCCGTGAGGTAATCGTTGCCTCGTCCAGTCACCCTCTGGTCAGCGGCTTCTACAAACTCCTGGGCACCTGCCTTACTCTGTGCAAGAATTGGCTACTTTCAGGTATGTATGTACGCTGCATTCCTTGTGAATACTAGGAGTACAGACGTACACTTCTGTGTTTGAGATTTCGAATTTTCCGCAAATTTCATGCCAGGGCATCGAAGGTGTGAAGGGAGCATCATCAAGCATTGCCATGGAGACGGACGAATTGACGGAAAGGATGACTTGCTACATGCTCTTCAGGAAGTTCATCAGAGAGGTGCTACTACATGCGTGTGTTGTGTCGAGGAGCAAAATGCTTGCAGATTCAGTTTTTATACCCTACTCATAATGCAGTTCAGTTTCAGTTTTATGCTTCCACTCATAATGCTGAAGGGTCTTTCTTCGCGGATGAACTTACTGTACACCTCAGAAAATGATGCGCTTTAAATTTTCCAACTTTGCGTTTGAAATTCCAAAGGTATACATTACAGGGCCTATGTTTGATTCTTCTATATATGTGACGTTTTATATAAGTGTGTATTGTAGAGAAGAATATGGATTGGGGATATTAGGAGAGGCTTTCTGAAATCTCAATTGATGACTGGCTCTGTATTCCTCCACCCCACATGCAGGTGGTGGTGAGGATGAAGCAGTACAAGGACGACCTCCTGGTGTCATGTCTCCAGCTGCTACTTTCTCTACCCAACGAACTGGTCAAACCTGAATTCTCGAACCTCGTTCCTGCCTTACAGGTTTACCCCCTCTCAATTAGTGATGCAATCTGTGTTGTACAGACATGTGCATGTATGTTTTATTATACGCAGCTTTCATCAAAGTACACCTCTTATTCTTTGCATGAACTAAGGCAAGATAGAGGATTTGATATTCCAACTGCGCAAAAGAACGATTAACTGGAGAGCCAGGGCTATAACTGCGTACTATTCACACAAGTCTTACATTGAATAGTAGCTGCTATATGAGCATAACCTCGTGTGCAGTACTTTTAATTCTCAGATTGATCTGTTGAACGATGTGATGTCTGTGTTTCCAGATGACGTTTAAGCTGGGACTGAGTTACCTGCCTCTGGCCAAGGCTGGTCTGGCCGCCCTGCAAGCATGGAGCTCCCAGCTTCCTCCTTCAGTGGTCAACCCTCACTTCCGGTGTATACTGCCTGCTCTAGATGACTACCTCAAGACAGGCGGATTTGACGGTACGAATACACGTAGCAGCATTATATATAAGTTTTTAACTTGCTTGAAAACTTTGGTAAATGAAATCCAACGTAGTATTTGAAAAATTGAATCAATACTCTCAATGCTCAGGATCATGTATTCACAACCTATATACCATGAAACATAGAGAGAAAAAACGTGTCTGGTTTTTTTTCTAGTTGGCTCCAATGTTTTTCGTGCACTGTATCATTTCACCTCTCGGTCGTATCGTATGTAGAAGGTCAGGGAGAAGGAGGAGGAGTGAAGTTGTCTCGCCACAGAACAGGTCGCCTCATTTCCATCAAGAACGTATCAAAATGGAGGGAGAGTACGGAAGTGAGTAACAATAGTAACCACCAACCTCGTTGTATATACTTCTGATCAGCACCTGTCTTTGCATTGAAAATTTGGCAAAACTTCGCCATGTTTTGTGTGATTAAATTTGGCATGAAGAGTGCATAAAGCTCCATTTTTTATGCCGAGAGAGTGCATAAAGCTGCATTTTTTTATGCCGAGAGAGTGCATAATGCTGCATTTTTTATGCTGAGAGAGTGCATAAAGCTTCATTTTTATGCTGAGAGAGTGCATAAAGCTTCATTTTTTATGCTGAGAGAGTGCATAAAGCTTCATTTTTTATGCTGAGAGAGTGCATAAAGCTTCATTTTTTATGCCAAGAGAGTGCATAAAGCTGCATTTTTTATGCCGAGAGAGTGCATAAACTGCATTTTTTATGCGAGAGAGTGCATAAAGCTGCATTTTTTGTGGTCGGCCAGAGTGCATAAAGTAAGCCGTCAAAATTTTGATTTGGAGTGCTGAGTTTCCAAATCTACCCAGTATTCCGTGTCGTTTCAGGGATCGGAGAGTCCCCACAGGCAGATTCGGATGCGCATCCTCCATTTCCTGGGTTCTCTCGGTGGCCACGTGAATGCCAGTCTGGTGGAGAGGGATTCGGCTGCCGTCTACGCCAAGAGAGCAGTGGCGTGGGACTCGGAGGATCACCTGGTGCTAGACCTCCCGTTTCAGGACCTGAAAACCACCATCTGCCTCGGTCAGATGAACCAAGAGTAGCCCTGTTTTTTTAGGCACTTCACAAGCAAGAGGAGACGCTGGGATATTTTGCACGTGATCGCGCCAAGGTTTTGTCAGCTACGATTCCCCTACTTTTTGCAAACACGTGTCCGTGGGCTCTGAAAGGGGGGCGTCTTTGATTCTCTCTCGCTTTTTGGGACGGAGCCTTGAAACGAGGCGAAGTGCGGGTCTGTATGATTTGTTTTCTTTGTGTTTAGATCCTTTCTTGCCGAGAGTGTGTGAACTTGCTTCAACATCCAGTGACAGACAGACAAAGGTACGTCCTCTATATAATTATGTATGTATGTACCACGAGGAGGTGTGGCCTCACTGTGTGTTGATTACGTCAGATTGCAGCATGTGAGCTTCTCCATGCTATGGTTCTCTTTATCCTCGGCAGGAGTGCCCAGCCTACCATGCAGAAGAAGGTACATTTTTACTCCATATATGTAGCTAACCTTCAACTTTTGATGGTTGTGTTGGATGTTACAGAGTCCGATGACAAAGTTGTTTCGTAAGGTGTTCCCCTACCTACTTCAACTGGGCTGCGATGTGGAGAAGGTACATATGTACATAATATAGCGTGAGGACTATCATTAGTGTTATCACCAAATCCAATCCTTAATCCTTCCAACTATTCATTGTGAAGGTGGAATGATCAAACAGCAAGGGCTTGTGTAGCTTTGAACCCCCTCCCCACACACACACTAAGTCTAGCAGTGTTCCATTGCACATCGCCCCCTCCCCGCTCTTCCCTGCATTCAAAAAACGCCATTTCTCACTGCAAGGTTGCTGAGCAGTTGTTCCGACCGCTGGTGCTGCAGATGATCCACTGGTTCACCAGAAACACTCAGTATGAGAGCCCCGACACCATAGCTCTGCTGGACGCCATTCTCGACGGAATAGTCGACTCCTCCGACACGGCGCTCAGGGATTTCTGCGGCCTCTGCGTGCGGGAGTTTCTCACCTGGTCCATCAAACAGACCTCCAAGAAGGTTCGCTATAGGACTCTGCTACTCAATTACTCAGTCTTCATATTATGTATACGGGGAAAAGTTTTAGGTGCACAGTTTTTTCTTAATTTTCAAAATCCACGAATAATTATGCTAGACTACACGAACATGTTTTGAGTTAAATATTCATGGATTTTACAAAAAATAAAAATAAAAAGAAAAAAAGAAAAAAGGAGACACTAATGGGTGTGCTCCCTTCACAAGTCATCCTTTGGGTGCAGTTTGTACCCTCAATAATGATTGGCATACATTGTCTCTCATCCACAGAAACAGGAGAAGAGTCCAATCAACATGAAATCACTACTGAAGAGGATCTACAGTCTGTCCTCTCATCCCAGTGCATCCAAGAGACTGGGAGCTGCTCTCGCTTTCAACAACATCTACACCGTCTTCAGGTCTGCATCCACAGTGGTAATCTAAAAGCTATGTAGCCGGTGAAAATGTTTCGACACACACCAGTTAGTAAAAAAATCTTAATTTTATTGCCGCACATGTGTAAGTGACTTTATCTTCTTTTTTTTTCATCGAACCATGTACGTGGTGTGTATATTGGCAGTCATTAGTCATTTGCATTCATTGGAGCACAGTTTGCAGGTGGGTGGTGCGGTTGAGCATTTACTGTGATGTATTTCCCTCAGGGAGGAGGAGTCTCTGGTGGACATGTTTGTGATCGAGATGTTGGTGGTCCTGATCCACAGCCTCAAGATGGCTCACAGAGACGAGAAATCACTGGGTAATATGCCTTCCTGCCTTACCTCCCTACTGTTTGATTATAGACATAATGTCTTCCTGCTTTACCTGAGTACTGTGGCAAAATATGGCTGCTGCTTTAGCTTCTTAAAAGTTTTGTATCTGTTATGTGAAGATGCACTAGGAGATGTTAGACTAATGCTAAGTGAACTAATACTGTAAATCTCAATATTCTCTGCTGGAAAAGAGTGGGGTGTGGGAGAACGGAATCCACTTACGTATATGTTGTCTGTGTGTAGGTACTCAGGACCAGTGTGTGGCAGCCATTGGACATATTGCCAGAATAATTCGCGTCAAATCGGCTCTTCTCGCCAAAACCAACAAAAGACGTCGACTCCCAAAGTAAGTGGTATATGTAATATATAGCCCACACTTGGTAGACACTCGCGTGAAAATCTCGACTCGAAGAGTTCACTGAACCTGTGCACTCATAAAAGAAGTGCCTGTATAGGCAAGGCTGGCAGTTTGTTCGTTGTAGTAGAACGTGCATTAGAAGCCCGTGGGCCTTTTATTTGCTACTGTCTCAAACTGCACTGCAAACCCTCTCACGCTATATTGCAAAGGCTGTAGAGCTTCTAATGAGTGTAGGATTCGCGGATTTGCTGTCTAAAATGTCTTGACTGCATGGTACTCTGGCCTATTATACTGTTAGAGGACTGAAGGCAGCTGACTTGTTCTCTGTGGTGAGCTGGTTGCTAGGGCAGTGTGGTTCTCCGGAGACAGCCTGCAGACATCAGTGCAGGGCCCTCTTTGAACAGCTGGCTCCTCTGATACCTGGTGAGCAGTTTGTAGCGTGCACACCTTGGTCCCATCGTTAACCCTCGGCGCGCATGCGCAGCGAGGCTTACAGTAGTTGGTTTGTCTGTCTGTGTGTCTGTCTGTGTGTCCACGAGTAAACGCATGAATAGCCCAGCCCATCAATTAGCAGTACTGCGCATGCGCAGTTCGCCGAGTGTTTCACACCTTTGTCACTTCATCTCCCCCACAGAAACCCTGTCAGCTGGGATATGGATAAGGAGGACGGTGGAATCTGAAGGAGGCCAATACTTTGTCTCCAGGTCTGCTTCCCTCTCAATCCACACACTCTGAAATCCATTCCACATAATCTGAGACCCATTTTCCATACACTGAGACCCATTCCAATACTTCAATACCCATTCACCATACTCACAGACCCTTCCCCCTACTCCTGGGACCCATTCCAACACTTCAATACCCATACTCACAGACCATACCCCATACTCCCGAGACCTATACTCCATTCTCGGTACAGGTTTGAGAAAGGTGGCCACGTGAAGGGAGGCTTACAGAGCAGACCTACACTGGCAGGGAAGATATTCTCTCTCACTGACACGTGTGCCTGGCTGGAGCTCCTCCACGCAGCTCTGGACTGCTACAACTGGGTGTTTGATCAGCAGCTTCTCTCTCCCAGCGAAGTCTTCCTCTGTGAGTGGCTGAGCAGTTTAGAGCAGTAATCCAAGCGTGTGCATGTGTAAACTACGAGGTAGAAAGGCAAAGGCACAACACACAAATCCACTACACCCAGGACAGCTCTTTTCCCCCATATACACGTGCTCTCAATGGTGTTTGTCTATAGTGAAGCCGGCAAAGCAGTCGGAAAAGCTGTCCTGCCTGTTCCCGGGTGTGGACCAGTTTCTCTCCAAACTCGCTCTCCACGGTCTCGAGGAGGCCAGCCAGTGTTACGAGTCTTCGCCGTCCGTCGTCCACACTCCGAGAGAAGTTTCCGACTACAACTCCAGAAAATGTGCGGTCACGTTGGCTCTGCTGCGTTTCGTTACCGTTCTGCTGACAAGACACCCCAAAGAAGCATTCGGAGTACGTTCATTGTATAAGTGCATCAACTTGATCACTTGTATGCAGAATGGGTATGTAGATCACTGTTAATAAGCCCAAAAGAGGATTGAAAAATATTAAGGAACACCATAGTTCAAAACCTTAGATCTCGTATTAAATTTCCAACTTTGGCGACGTCAGTTTATGTGCACCCCAGCCTATTATACAATTGCTACTTGAGTATATATATATATATATTTCTGCTAGGAGTGTATTGAATGTTTTTCTCAATGTGTTGCAGCACGTACCACAGTCATTCTGGGGGAAGTTCTCTACTGGAGGTGGTCGTCGTGTGCTGTCTTCAACCTAGCTCTGTCGGGTTCGATGTGGGAGACGTTACTCTCACTGAGTCCCTCACTGCGAAGGTAAATGACTATTCAATGTAGCTTTCATTAGTTGTTTTGTGTACAATAATTTTAAGACATAATTTTCAGCGTGAAAAGTGTGTTTAAATTTATAGTCGTTCAGTAAGGAATGAAGCATTCATCAGTTTGATCGAGGTATATAAAAGAAGCATAATAATTGCCAAGCGCATTAGCGCGAGGCAACTACTCCGGGTGGTTGTATTCTCGCGATGTACGTACGTCGTCAATTAGTCACGCTTAGGAATGTCAATTAGTCACCAAAAGGAAGTGTAACTTACGTCATTCGTAGGAAGTCTAGCTTCCGCCGTGCGCGCAGATTCATAGGAAGTCTGGCTTCGCGCGCAGTCAGTAGAGCGCGTGCACGAGCGGCCTCAATCAGACTGTTTACGCATTGGCTGACAGGCGCGAGGCAAAATATGCGCGTGTGCATTCCTAGTAATAATATTGTGTGTTGGTGCAGTCAATGGAGTGTTTGAAGGCCATCCATGAGTGCAAGAACTTTCCCACGGAGCAGAAGTCACTGTTACTGGAGCTGGTGGGAGGACAGTTATCTTCTGGAGGGTGAGTCCACAATATTCCTTAGGAAAAAATGTGAGAAAATGGTTCACGGTATGTGGAAGAAATGGTCCTATATATACGTACATACATTGCTTATTAAAAATATCCGCACCCACAAATATTTATTACGGAGAAAATGTTCATAAGCTGCAAAACCGCATAATTTTAACCTTTCTCCCCGTAAGTTTTCGCTATGCCGGTTTTTCATACGTCTGTGGTCTTGCAGGGCCTGTAATCTGATTGGTCAGTTGCCTCTCGCTGTCGATGATGGGTGTGATAAGAGAGACCACGGTAAACTGAATGCCGCGACGCACGGACACATTCTGCTGCAGAGGTCTGGTCTACTGCCACTGGTTCTGGAGAGAATGGTGCGAACCTTATTGTGTGTGCTTTTATAGGTATATGTAGTATGCACACACGTGTGAAAATGTGTGTAATAAATCTCTTAGTAACTTGCATTGTGTTTCCCCTCACAAGCGGTGCACGCGTAAAAACAATTTGCCAAGCACGTGCTAAATATGTACATACATAAGTTAGGCATCTCGTCCATTGAAATTAGAAGCCCTCAGGCCCTATACATACGTTGTATGTAAAATTGAAGTTGCGAGTCATCATTTAGGGGCATACAGAGGAGGCAGTTGTGTCGAAGTTACTGCAGTCGGTCCTGGCTACTGTGAGGCCCCTTCTTGCTATGTCCGGCAGCGTGACAGCCACACTCAGCCCCGTTTCTGCCCAAACCGGTTCTCTTTTCCTTCAACTGGCTCTTCTCCTTGGAGTGAAGGTGCAGATATTTCCGAGAAAGGAAGGACCCTCCTACGAAAGGACAACTCTCTATAAGACACTTTGGTTCTGCCCTAGCTCTGCCCCATACCTTTGAATATGAGGCATATCTGAATAAAACGTCCCTAGAATTCCCTTATTTGTATGTTTAATCGTGTACTCACAGACCACTGACCTACGTTTTGTATTGCAGCCTTCGGGATTGGTGGATCTCTTGCTTGACTATAGCACTGGTGAGTATGTGTATGCTAATCCTATGCTACATACGTGTGTACTACATATGTGAGGGAAACTTGGGTATCATGTTAGGAGAATTTTAGGCTTTTTATCGGTTTTTAGAGCTGTCCTGTAGTGTGTTTGACAATGGGAATGTGTATTTTTTTTAGACTGTCCTGGACTGGGTTTGATGGTGTACCAGTGCTTCCAAAGCCACATAGACGACTACATTGCCAGCCACCATCAGGAGACTGTCTCACTACTGCTCGGAAAAGGACAGAGCAAAGTTGAAACCGTGAGAGTAATGCTTCTCAGAGTTAGTCTATGACGTACGTATATACTGTACCTTTGATGATACGACGTAGTGGAAAAATCATCTCCCATAATCTCTTACTACGTTACGTAGGCATCTACTGCCACGTAGCAAGAAGGTTTCGATGCAAAATATGTGTTCGCAAAATATATATATAGTTGATGCGATCCCGGAACTACGCGCATTAGAGAGCGCGGGGCCCCGGGCTTCGCTTCGAGCGCAGGAGGACGCTACTAGGGCCCCCAGCGCTCTAAGGCGTGTTTCCATGGACAAGGCGTCTAACTTGTTTGACTATGGCACGCGTGCGCGCAATTCAAATTCGGTGCATCTGAAACCGCGACGAGCGCTGCTTCCCTCTGCTGGGAAGTCAAGCGAGAGGCCCAGGAGGACGTCGACAACGGCTCGACTCTATACACCTTCGCAGCCGTTGGGGGACTCCGCCCAACGTAAGTGAGCCATTGCGCATGCGCCAATTTAGAGTCCGGAGAAGTTATTTAGAGTCGTAAATTCGCTCTACTCGAATTAGAGTCCGCGCACGGACCAATCAGATTGCGCAATTTAAATTACCCAGCTCTAAAATATTGTAGAGATGCCTTTCATGGATTTCTTGCTCTGCCGTACAAATGGTCCCCACCAACAAGAAGAACAGTAGTCAAGTTTGACTCTGACATGGCAAAATTCCTAAGATTTCCTCCCACTACCCCACTATGCCGTGTGTAACACATACGTTGGTGTGGACTGTACTGACATAATATGTACGTAGGTATCAACTATATTGACTGGTGTACTGGAGCACAGTGGTAGAGACAAGGGCCCCAAGAAGGAGAAGGGAAGTGGGGTGTGCCTCTACCTCATCTCTCAGTGGAGGGAGGTGGAGGGATGGTGGAAACCGGGGCCACCTGATCACCTCCTGGCAGCCATCAACCTCTTGAGGAAGACGCTGTCCGTCGATCCATGTGTTAGTTACTAGAATGATAGCAACACTTTTTTGGCGAGCGAACACTCGCGGATTAAATATCTAAGCCTTTTTAGCGAACACATGTGGATGAAATAATAGTATTAGAAGTATATGTTGAACATTATGGTATAGTTTAGCCCTTTGTGGAAAAATCGATATCTGAAACAGGAAGAGCTGGGTATATAGTTTCAATTCGGATGTTGTCAACAAATTATGATGTCGTCATTATTTTTTCTCCAGCTACTTCAGAATGCTGCACCAGCGGACGTGAATCACGTGGTCACCATGTATGCTGCAGTACTGGAGGATAAACAGATATCCCTCACCTTCAAGGTGCAGTATGGCTCTTATGAACACTTTGCTTGATAGGATATATTTGGATTTTGTGACCACAGAGCCAAGCCCTGGAGGTGCTCAATAATTTTATTGGCCTCTCGGAAGAAATACAACAGAAATTGAGGTAATTTTGAACATAAGTTTTTTGAACTTGTGGCTAAATAAATCGTTGGGGTAAACATTTTGTGAGAACTGTAATGATTTATGGGTATATTTATAATTATTTGCGACAAACTTTTGTTTGCTGCATTAATCACTGTCTTGAGTTATGTCTCTTCATAATATGCAGGGAAAGTGTTGATAGAATGATTGCCTATCAGTTTCCACTCAAATCGACTGAATTTGTACCTGGAAGTCCTCAGTACAACGAATACATTTCAGTAATAGACAAGGTTCGTGTTTATCAATGTACTTACAGTCTATCTTGACATAGTGTGGTGGTAGCAGTGCATTACACTTATATTGTTTGTAAGATTCAGCAGCGCATGCGTGTCAATCGTGTAAAATGTGTTCGCTGCTCCTCACAAAAAATGAGTGGAAGTGCCACCCACTCTCGCCGTCCTGCAAGTCCTACAAACTTTCTCCCAAAAAACGGGTTCAGAAAAATCACCAATAATCACAAACGTGAAATAGTTCGTAGGCTTAGCTTTTCACCATTCACTCAACTGATGACGTTGACTATACCACTCCTTCAGTTGCTGAATGCTCTGGTGGTGTCAGGGAGTTGTGTTCTACTGGAGGTTCTCATGAATGTGATGTGCCGAGAGGAGAGACACGCACACGAAGACAGCATCCAAAACAGTCTCACACTCTTTATGAGAGAGTAAGCACTAGCTAGCATGCCTACTGTGCTCCGTGTGCCCTGTGGGCGTTGTGTGTTAAAGGTGTCAACGGTTTTGCATTTTTTGCATGCGCATAAGTAGAAGAAAATAGCAACAGACTATCTTTAATAATTTAGCTCTAGATGGAGTATGGAATAGTAACATACTCTATCTCACTGTCACTGTGCCTTCACCCCTACCCACTCTCTATAAGGCTGTCAACGGTTTTGCAGGCACATAAGTAGAAGAAAATAGTCTTATATACTTTAGTTCTAGAGTTTTATGCATCTTTGCTGTCTATATGCGTGTTTCATATTCTCTGCGCGCAGTGCTAAACGCAATGTGAATGTTTTACGTGCGCATGTGCGAACGATGCGTGCCAGCGATCCGTCTCGTAATTTACTGCATTCATGCAAAAAAACACAGCGTCCGCAGGCGTACGACTAATGCCGGTAGACACCTTTTTATCGCTCCGGAAAATGCGCATGCGCTTATATTTAGCACAGGCTTACATCGACCGGGTCCGCTTGCTCTGTGTATCTTGAAGGAGTCACAACGAATGGCGTGTATCGACTCTCGCATGCTATCTATTACTGTAGCTAGCCTGTGTCAGACTCTCTGCGAGCTACTAGCGGGAGACCGCGAGTAAACGCACACTAATACATACCTATAAATTTAGCGGTACCGCGCATGCGCAGTTCGCCGAGGGTTTGCACTTCAGTGCTTTTCATTCTTTCTTTTTTCCTTCTTTTTCATTTTTCTGCCACAGAATACTGACGGCTTCAGAAAGGAAAAAAGCGATCGACGTTTCGTACCGGTTTTTCACAAACGAGAAGGATTACCCTCTTGAGGGGAGGAGGGCAGCTGCCGAGAGGGTGTGCGTTCCTCTCATGAGGGCGTGCGACGAGGTCGCACTGCGTGAATTCTTTCTCGACCACGTTGGAGAGGTCATGGCCGTCATAGAGGCACCTCTGTCAAAGGTTCAAAATTTGTCGCAATTTTGTGTTTTCAACCAAATTTTGACGGAACGGACACCTTTTTTACAATAGCTCGATAAACTATCCTTGAACATTTTCTCTGTGAAGTATTTACATTTTACATTTTTTCTCCCCCAAAAAGTGTGCCACCAAAATATTCGTGGTATTGGGGGTTCTTGGTGTCGTAGTTTAATGCTGGTGTTCTTTGCTTAGTCGGCGCTGGAGTCAGAGCTGGTGCGCAGGTTGTGCAGTTTCAACTTCATGGAGGTGCTCTACACGAGGCTGTCTTCCGGAGCTCTCAGCAGTCCAGACAGCAAGATCAACAGAGCCTACTGCAAGGGAATCGTGAAGACGGGGAAAGAAATGACGCAGGCCGTGACAAAGTCAGCTCCTTCTCTACCCCTTTTACTTAGGCTTCACACATTTTCCCTCTCTCCTCCCCCCCTTTATTCTGTTCCCCATTGCTACTACCTCACTGGGCCTTCATTTAGAAATGGGGGGAATAGACAAAGTAGAGGCAAAACCCTTTGTTTGTGTGTATGACTTAAACTCCAATGGGGTGGGCAAGATTTTGTCAAGGGGGGCGAGTGCCCCCTTCCCCCCTCAAAACGAACCCTGCTCACTGCCCCCTCCAACCTTTCCCCGTTAGAGCTGGTCACCAGGCGAAGGGGGAGGATCTCAGGGGAGACAGAAGTCACGGTGAACTGAGGCGACAGTACCACTGTGCTGCCTTCAACATGGTCGCTGCCGTCATAACCTGCACCCAGAGAGACCTCAAGTTCTACACCGCCTTCCTCTTCAAAGAAGACCTCACTAAAGTATAGTTTCACTAACTTCTTTGAGTGATCCCACCATATGCACTTTTGAAAATGAGACCGAAGAAACGTAGCAGCAAATGGTGAAGGGTACTTTTGAAGTCTGTTGCATTCATTTCGTAGGGAGTGTATCTTTGGGACAATCTGATTGACCCGGAGAGAGTCTATAAGTTTGAACTCGAGCTTGAGGTAATAATATGCGGCAAAAAAGCGCGCAAAGTTGTTGAATGTTGACCGTGTCTGATTGCAGACTCCCATTGACAGGAAGAAACAGCTGACTGCGATTCGAAACGAGCGATTGTCGCCAGACTCCAGAGAATCCTCTTCACCTCCGGAAGATTCCATACTGTGTATGTAGGCTATTATTACCATGCCAAGTACAGTTGGTCTTGGTGCCTCTCTTTCTTCATCTCTGTATCTTTTCATCCTGCTTTCTCTCTCCTTCTGCCACCCCCCTCGTCCCTTTCTCTTACACACATGCATGTCTCAACAACTTGGTAACGAGGTAGAAAGGCAAGGCAAGGCAAACAAGTCAACTACACCCAGGAAATGCACTCCCTCTCCTCCCCCTCCCCCTCCCCCCATTCCTTCTCTACAGTTCCCCCACGATACCTATCCTCCCAGTACTTGGCTGACAGTAGTCTCAGTACTGACGTCTCCAAGTTCGACTTCTCTGCTGGACCACAGGTCAGTCTATATACATAGTACTGAGGTGCTAACGACCCAGTTCTCCCATGATCATGTGCCTAACGTGTACAACGTAGGTTTTTCCTGTGATGGGAACCACAAGCAAATCACAAAATAAGGTACGTTGTACGACACATACAGTATTACCTGACCTGAAGAGTTGGCATTATCATGGTGCTTATAGCGTGAAATATGTTGTTGTTTATTTGTGATGAAAAAGTTGTCAAACTTCAACATATTTTTATGTCGGACTAGATTTTTTTTATAGTGGTAAGATTAAGTTTGTCTTTCAAGAAAAACATTTGAATTTGGGTTACAATATTTTATAGGAGATGTCCTACACTGTGTCGGAGGAGCAGATAGAACAAGATGAACTGAACCAACACGAGTGTATGCTGCCACTCATGAGGCTTATTGATCACATGCAGCACAATAAGATCACTCCAGAAGTGCCTCAGGTACTTATACACACAACAACTGTTGCAGTATTACGTATTTCCAAATTAAGTGCAAGTGTCACAGAGCGCCAGCGGTTCAAATCGTGCTGCATAACAATATGCATTTGTTTGCCAAAAAGTGATCGTCGATATTTTTTGTCGATAGGGTAGTGTTCCTGATGAGCTACCGTCATGGATGGCGTGTATCCAGAAGAAGTTACTGGACACCAGAGCCGATCTGAACGTGCAGCTGTTTCTCGCGCGTCTCATCACACACAGACCTAAAGTCAGTCGCACACAACACTTTGTCTATGCCTCCATTTACTTACTTGCGACTTGCAAATGCTCCGCTTTATAGATGCATACTTTCTTCAGGTGTTCCAGCCATATGGCAGTATTGGTTGCCGTGCCTGATAAACCTGGTGCTGAGGATACGGAGCGTGCTGCGGGCATGCAGTACTTCGTGGTGGACATTGTGGTTACTCTCCTCTCTTGGGCATCAACTGCCATACCTCAGGTTTGAACCTTGTGCCTTGGGAGGCATGCACATACACCAATAAATGTCACAGGTATTCAGGAAGGTTTTGTTGGCCTCTCCTAACCCGTATGTTCTAGCTAGTACTTGCACTGCATTCTCCAGCTATAGTCAATGCATTCATGATTTTTTGTTGATCTGTCCTTACCCCCACATTCTTGTAAAAAGTACAAACAATTTATAGGCCACTTCGAATTATGTGCACTGCACTCTCCAGCTATAGTCAATGCGTTCATGATTTTTTGTTGATCTGTCCTTACCCCCACATTCTTGTAAAAAGTACAAACAATTTATAGGCCACTTCGAATTATGTGCACTGCACTCTCCAGCTATAGTCAATGCGTTCATGATTTTTTGTTGACCTGTCCTTACCCCCACATTCTTGTAAAAAGTACAAACAATTTATAGGCCACTTCGAATTATGTGCACTGCACTCTCCAGCTATAGTCAATGCGTTCATGATTTTTTGTTGATCTGTCCTTACCCCCCCACATTCTTGTAAAAAGTACAAACAATTTATAGGCCACTTCGAATTATGTGCACTGCACTCTCCAGCTATAGTCAATGCGTTCATGATTTTTTGTTGACCTGTCCTTACCCCCACATTCTTGTAAAAAGTACAAACAATTTATAGGCCACTTCGAATTATGTGCACTGCACTCTCCAGCTATAGTCAATGCGTTCATGATTTTTTGTTGACCTGTCCTTACCCCCACATTCTTGTAAAAAGTACAAACAATTTATAGGCCACTTCGAATTATGTGCACTGCACTCTCCAGCTATAGTCAATGCGTTCATGATTTTTTGTTGACCTGTCCTTACCCCCACATTCTTGTAAAAAGTACAAACAATTTATAGGCCACTTCGAATTATGTGCACTGCACTCTCCAGCTATAGTCAATGCGTTCATGATTTTTTGTTGACCTGTCCTTACCCCCACATTCTTGTAAAAAGTACAAACAATTTATAGGCCACTTCGAATTATGTGCACTGCACTCTCCAGCTATAGTCAATGCGTTCATGATTTTTTGTTGACCTGTCCTTACCCCCACATTCTTGTAAAAAGTACAAACAATTTATAGGCCACTTCGAATTATGTGCACTGCACTCTCCAGCTATAGTCAATGCGTTCATGATTTTTTGTTGACCTGTCCTTACCCCCACATTCTTGTCAAAAAGTACAAACAATTTATAGGCCACTTCGAATTATGTGCACTGCACTCTCCAGCTATAGTCAATGCGTTCATGATTTTTTGTTGATCTGTCCTTACCCCCACATTCTTGTCAAAAGTACAAACAATTTATAGGCCACTTCGAATTATGTGCACTGCACTCTCCAGCTATAGTCAATGCGTTCATGATTTTTTGTTGACCTGTCCTTACCCCCACATTCTTGTAAAAAGTACAAACAATTTATAGGCCACTTCGAATTATGTGCACTGCACTCTCCAGCTATAGTCAATGCGTTCATGATTTTTTGTTGACCTGTCCTTACCCCCACATTCTTGTAAAAAGTACAAACAATTTAGGCCACTTCGAATTATGTGCACTGCACTCTCCAATTTATGCGCAGTGGTTGATTGACCTCTCCTTCCCCCCAGGTTCTTACTAGAAGTATGAAAAATTTGGCCACCCTAATTTTTTAGGCGTTATCCCCGTTCATGACCTCACAAGAGGAAGTGTTTCTCTCGCAGGAAGGGGACGAGACAGCAAGCACACTGCTGGAGTACCTCATGCACAACTGTCACCATGACAACCGCAGTGTCTTCAGAAACAACCTCGAGATCATCAAGACTCTCATGGAGCTGTGGAGAGACAGACTAACAGTCCCTACGAAGTACGTATGCATTTTTGGCGAGCGAAACCAGCAGTTTTATTTTTCACGTGTTTCACGCATATGTAGAATCACGTGCAGTGCCCGACGTTACAGGTATAGTGTATATGGTAAAATTCTGCATTTGGACGATTAGATGGACTCGCTTTCCTCGTCAATTATATATACTTATAGCACTATTAAACACACCCACTATAGTTTAAGGCTGAGGTTTTGCAATGTGTCAACATGCTCTTCCTCTCTCTTCCCTCCTCTCTCCGGTTTCGTCTCTCACAGAGTGGTGTTCAACCACTTCTGCAACCCCAGCCCGGACGTCAAGTCCAACCGAACCGGCATACAGCTGCTGGGAGTGGTGGTGGCGAATCATCTGTCGCCCTATGACCCGGACACGGCAGGAGCCATTGAAGAACAACGGTTCTACACCACCTTCGCATCCCTCATGTCCCACAAGTACAAGGAGATCTACGCTGCGGCCGCCGAAGTCATGGGGATGGTCTTGGCTTTCTTGCAGGACAAGAGTCATGTAATGCACACTATCACTCTAATAGTTATACCATACACATAATGTATTATGGTCATTACTCATAGGCAAATTGTAGTACAGAACAAAATTTGCAGGATACAATTTTCACGAATCTGACAACAAAACACAATATGTATAAAAAGTAATATGCCCAATTGAATTTTTTTTTATCATCCTGCAAAATTTTATTTGAAATGCTTTGTGTGTCTCCTTGCAGTTGTCACTGGAGAACGTGAGGGACCTGGTAGTGAATCAACTGCTGTCGCTGTGCAGCGGTGGAAATGAGGACAAGTTCCTTGTCTGCCTCAACAAGATCCAGATCAACTTCCCACACCTCGTCAGTAGGTACGTATGTTACACTTTACCTCTTCGAGAGAGACTGCTTTCAAGAATTTTTTCAAACTCTGAAAAGTATTAAACTCCCCTTCAAACTTTTAAGAACCTTCTTAATTCTGTAATGCTGTATGAGCCCCACCTCAAGCTATATATTCTGTATGAACCCCACCTCAAGCTCTAAATTCTGTATGAGCCCCACCTCAAGCTATAAATTCTGTATGAATCCCACCTCAAGCTCTAAATTCTGTATGAACCCCACCTCAAGCTCTAAATTCTGTATGAACCCCACCTCAAGCTCTAAATTCTGTATGACCCCACCTCAAGCTCTAATTCTGTATGAACCACACCTCAAGCTCTAAATTCTGTATGAACCCCACCTCAAGCTCTAAATTCTGTATGAACCACACCTCAAGTTCTAAATTCTGTATGAACCCCACCTCAAGCTCTAAATTCTGTATGAACCCCACCTCAAGCTCTAAATTCTTTATGAACCCCACCTCAAGCTCTAAATTCTGTATGAACCCCACCTCAAGCTCTAAATTCTGTATGAACCCCACCTCAAGCTCTAAATTCTGTATGAACCACACCTCAAGCTCTAAATTCTGTATGAACACACTTCTGCCTAAAGCCCATAAAGGCAATCGAAACTCTCTATGAACACTAGATTCTATAGTGTCGTCATTCCTCTCAACCCAGATTTGTGGAGAAGCTGTTGTTCATGTTGCCAGTGTTCCACGGAGTGTTCCGGAGCCTCTGTCTAGAGGTTCTCCTCACGCAGGCCGACGTGAGGACCACTCTCTACCGTGAACTGAAGGAGAAAGGATTTCACGACATGCTCAAGTTCAGGTCTGAGCACGCAGACACCTCTCTCTGATCATCCGTGCATGCGCAGTGAGGCCACGTGCGTCCGCGCGTGTGCGGGCCAGAGAGACATGCTCAAGTTCAGGTCTGAGCACGCAGACCCTCTCTCTCTGATCATCTGTGCATGCGCAGTGAGGCCACGTGCGTCGGCGCGTGTTTGGGCCAGAGAGAGCTAGCATAAGCTTTATGAACATGTTTGTTTAACCAGTTTTTCCTTTAGATTTTCTCTTAATCTTCTTCTTTATCGCTGCTATTTATCCCCCCTCTCCCCCCTTTTCTTCTCCCCCTTTCTCTCCCTCTCCCTCCCTGTCTCAGGGATGAGCCAACGCAGCTGGCGGCTCTCAACATCTGTCAGGCCATGCTGCGTCTTCTGGAACTCCAGCAGTTGGCGGAACTGCTTCCACTGCTGCGAGAATTCAGCCGCCACTCCAGCCAGAACTGCAGAGTCGTCATGTACGATATTCTCATATGGACCTACAATAACACATGGTGAATACATTATATGTACGTATGGTGTCAATTTTTACTCGTGAAAAGAAAAAAAAGAAAGATTTTCACACAGATAGGCTTACGTATTTGACGTCCGCAAAACGAATTAAATTTTTTGTGTACAAAGTACACATAATTATAAGACATTGTACCGTACGGTGGGTTGAAGTGTGACGCACACATACATGTACACACATTACTAGTAGGCGAATGCATGGCATTTTTGGCGAGCGGAAGCGCGCTTCAATTGGGTCTAATCGTATGAGTCACTCTTGTGTGTGCACAAAACAGTGCGATACATTGCACAGGACCAAGTAGGACCGAAACGTACCCGAGCGCAGTAGACAATTCGAGTCGCGAATCACAACAGTCAGACGACAGCGCGAATCAGGCATAATCCGGCAATCTGATTGGTCTTGCAGGAATAGGGAACAAGTGGCACTGTAGAAAATTTCTCGGCTGGACTGTGCAGCATATACTCGATAGCTCGGAGGTGGTTGTCGTTTCCCTGATTTCCGCTCGATTCAGGCAGCATTATGAAACTTTTGAAATCCTTCGGATCAAGAAGACGCGTCGTCATGCTGAGCGCGCAGTTTTGGACGACGGTACGGTGACATATATATATATATATATCTAGATTATACAAATCGCCCGTTCGTGGACCACTATGTTTGCATCGCTTTTCCGCGCGCCAATTATGTGTATTGTGGCTTTTCAGCAGCAGTTCCAGTGGAGATGAGTGTCTGAAGAGATTCACGAGTGAAGTGCGTGACCAGCTTCTACTGGGACTGGCTGACGACTCTGACGACATCAGGTTTAGTAAGGAAAAAATTGTGTACTTCCGTAGTTCTGTGAAAGTATATCAGTGTATGTAGGTCCAGTTGTGTGTTGAAAAAAAGGATAAGAGGGTTTAAAATACTGCTAGCTTACAAATGTAAATTGTTTCCCGAATCAGGTTGAAGATGTTTGCATTCTGGAACGAGGAGAGTCGACTGGCATCCAACACTCTGGGCAGACTGACGCAGCTGCTGGCCGTACTGTACTCCACCAGTACCGAGCGGCACTTCCTCTACAACTCCACCAACCTTCTCCTGGAGCTCACCTCTCGCAGTCCCGACTACGACAGGAGCATCTTTGACCAGCCGCTCTCCGACTGCAAGTTTGAGGTCTGTACGTGTGTGCGGCTCACTGGTCATTGGCTCTGCAAATGGTCTTGACTTCCCTCTCTATCTTGTCTTCGTCGATTGAAAAACAATGTTTCTTCACCAATAGAAAATAAACACAATGTCAGAAAATGCTGTCTTCTGTGTTATGTTCTTTTCTTTCACCTATCTTATTCCTGTTCACTTTCATTTTGCCTCTGGCCTTCTCTCTGTCTCTCCTCCTTCCGTCTGCCTTCTCTCTCTTCTTCCTCCTCTCTCTTCTTCCCTCTCTCAATCCGTAGGAGTACAAAGGGATCGACCTGTCATGGCAGCAGAGGTACTCGCAGATGACCCCTCTCTTTGCTGCCACTCTCTCCAGCCAAACGGGCCAGACTCAAACAGATTACGGCGGGACAGTGGGTTCAATTGGAGCTGTTGGTCTCAGAGCCACGCAGAGATCTGTGGAATTCACTCCAACACAAGGCAAGCTTACGTATGTGTTGACCTAATGAAGTGTCCATTTACTGCCATAACACAAAACCCCCATATGCAGCTCGTTGTAGTTCCTGGCCGCATTTGGTACTTTAACTCTTGTTGTACATTCAGGCGAGAGAAAATGATATGCATGTACTAGCTTCTTTTGAATTGCTTCACTCCTCACCCCACAAACGAAACGGTCTCGCAAAGCCTGCTCCAAAAACTCTCCGAAGTCACACGAGATCAAGACCCACTAATGCATTGTTCTCAGAATTTGGGGAGTAAAAATCACATTTTCCCCTGACACAACGACAGACAACACACCACCCTCAAGCTACCGAAATGCATGACTATACTGCTCTCTATGTTACTATACATAAAGCTCCTCTTGCCTGATCTAGATGGAGGAGGCTACAACTGGATGGCTCCTTCCCTGCAGTCTCTTGAGCCGGGCTCCCTCACCCCTGCCTCCGGTGGAGAGACTCAATCTTCCTCGTCGTCTTCGCTGCTGTTCAACCCGATGAGACCTCCACGGAGACCGCTGAGACCAGTCAGAGCTGGAGACGGGTTCGGTGTGGGCACGCTCGGAGCCGACCAGACTGACTCCGCCTGTGAGCATCTGTCCTCTTTGTATTACAAAACTTAATGCCGTCGAAAAATCGAACTTTTATGGAAATAATGGTAATTTATGTTTGTGTGGAAATTTTCGTGTTTGGAAGTAAGTTGTATATGTGGATGGTATATTTCTAGTTTGAATGTCTTACACTGTACACATAATGTATGAACGTCGTAGCTGATCCCAAGGAACAGAAGAGAATGGAGATTATGAAGCTGAAGAGGAGGTTTCTGAAGGACAGAAAGGTCGCGAGTGCCTTCTTTGCCAAGTCTCAGTCAAGACAGAAGACTCAGAGAGAGGTACGTATATACATTCTTACAGAATACAGTATATGAATATCAAACTAGGGTGTTCTTAATTTTGCACCCAACCAGTTAAAAACTATGGCAAAAAGGTTATTTAACCATGATCACTAAGTACGGTAGTACTTATAGGGATGACACAGGTTGTCCTGCATTATGCCCATACATTTGAGATTTTCATGTTTCACTTTTTCGCTATCTGGTGACATACCTTGTAGTACTGTTCATATTGGATTGAAAGTGAGGGCTGCATGTGTGTGTGTGTGTGCCGCAACTGCAGGAGACACGGAAGAGACAGAAGGCGGCCCGGAGCAGCAAGGTGGTGATGTACAGAAAGTACAGAGTTGGCGAGCTGCCCGACACTCAGATAAAGTACTCGGAGATCATCAGACCATTCCAGGCCCTGGCACAGGTGTGTACGTGTAGGTGGGGGATCCTTAGTTAACCTTTTTTTCACTACATTTGGATAGCTGGTATTGCAAGCTTGAATATGAGCACATTACGTTAAATGATTGCAACAATCTAACCACATTGACTACTGTTTCTGTTATACGTACTCTATTAATAAACCAAAAAAAGTTTTGCGAGGGCACTCAGCCAATGAGCGTGGAGCACTAAAAAAATTAACAGATATATCTTTCACAATTTGGTAAAATGTGCGCTGTTATTTTTTGCAAAGTTATAATCCTTGTGTTTTGCATTTTCCACCAGCGAGACAGCAACCTGGCTCGGATGTTGTTCTCCAACCTCTACTGTTCTCTGTTTGGTCTGATGGAGAGGGAGCTGGGGGAGGAGGAAGGAGGGACTGCCGTGGCCGCCATCAGGGACGGCCTCAACGCAGTGCTGACTCACTCCACCGACTATCACCCTCCCTTCATTGGGAGTCTTCACGTAAGTGGAACCATGTGGGAAGTAAAGTGATGTACAGTAGAAGTCAAAAAAACGTTTCCAAAAATCGTTCACCGTTCAACCGTTGAACGGCGTTCACCGTTCACCGTTCATCCGTTTCCGACGGAACGACGTTTCACCGTTCATCCGTTGACCGTTCATGTTCGCGGCTACGCAACCCGCGATGCGCGCTAAAAGCTTTCTCCGTTCGAACGCCGTTCAACGGTTGAACGGTGAACGATTTTGGAAAAGTTTTACTTCTAATGTATGTGTGTTGTCTACGTACTTATATCTATCTGAGCAGGACCTGTGTTTCCATAAGAGTGAACTGGAGCTGGAGCCAACTGCTGTGTCCAGAGCCTGTCTCGACTGCATGCAGGAACCAATTGGTGAGCCCAACACCACACATGCACCTGAACAATGTGGTACGGATATAACGTGAATATATTTTGGTGAGTGAATGTGTAGATGTGTAGCATGCACAAATCGATGTGGTGCCATCACTGGTTATACATAATGATACCTCTGCGGTATACTTCAGGGATTATGCTGCTGGAGAAGCAGCTGCTGGTGAATGGAGAGAGTGCAGCAGCTGGGAGCAGGTCGACAAAGAGAGCTCGAACCTCCACTGGTGCTCCTCCAGACCACTCCACCATCACCTGGGTCGAGATGTCCAGGCAAGTATAGTACCTGTGCATGAAGTACATAGTATAGGTATATACCATCTTTGTATCCAATACTTTTTATAGGCTGTACAAATCTCTGGGAGACTACGACACCCTGCGAGGCCTTTTCAGCAGTCAGGTAGGGGTTAAAGCCATCACCAAGGAGGCGCTTGCGGCGGAGGAGAGGACGGACTATGTGGAGGCTCTGCGTCTCTACAAAGAGGCCGTGGGGTGCGAGAACTGGGGAGACGGTCAGCCCAGTCAGGTAGAGGAAGATCTATGGAAGACTCCATGCTTCAGGATGAGCGTCCTGTTGCTCGAGAATTGAGTCACCCCATATCTAAGCGAGAAGAGGAAAGGAAAGGAGGACGCGCGGAGAGAGCGGAGTCCCAACGATGAGGTTACAGGTGAGGGAAAAGGAAAACAACACAACGAAATACACAAAAAGAGTCTAAATACCTTTTCGACCATCAAAACACTCATCTCTCAAAACCAAAGCAATACAAACTCAAAGAATAGAAAAATACTTTCGTCACCACGTGCGTCCTCACCCACCCCACCACTACACTTACTTCACTCACTTTTTGTACATCTGCCCACAGTGCTACAGTCACCTACTGACATGCAGGACTGGAAAAGAAAAAGCCTCGTGTAGTGACACATTGAGAATGAAGACGGAACTCCGTCAAAACCTGACAAAATCTGCGGAGGACTCGAATGCCACAAGGTATCGATCGTACTACTAGCGAACCATTGCGAGCGATGCACTCCAATGTGTATATATATACACGGGAAACACACAATCAAGTCAGGACCCTCTCTCCGCGCTACGACGCGCGTGGGCCTCACTGCCAGCGCACCGATGCATGCGTGACACTGAGAGATGCCGTTCACGTGAACAATGGCGTGTGGGTTTAGCGGAGGCGAGCAGCAGAGCAGTATTGCGTTAAAAGTCAGCGCACTTTACAATAGTGCTGTTGCGTGTGTATCATATCCACAACAGTAGGGACTTCCCGCATGCGACCATATATTCTGCAGGGCAGCAAAGCTCTAGCGCACCTGATGGGGCCGAGCAGCTCAAACGGGCCTGCAGCGGCGTTGAGGACACCAACTTCACCGACTTTCTCAACAGGCTATCTGCGCGAGAGGACGACAGAAAAGCAACCTGACTGGAGACTCGGCCACTCCACGGGAGTGGATTATTATACAGCTATAATAAGAGGGAGACATGGCCAGTGGACAAGTTATTCGACAACGCAGTAACTCCAGATGTTTACTCAGGTATATACGGGATATGGGAACGGTGGTTATTTACGTGACGAAAATTTTTCCTTTTTTTCATTTGTTTGCTTCCGGGAAAAACTAGGAATAGGACAAAATAGGGAGTATTACTCAGGAAAGGGCAGGGGAATTTGGCTCAAAATCAACCACCTTGATTGCCGAAGGAAATGTTCCATTGCTAAACGTTGCCTTGCAGTCCCTATTTAATAGTGTTGATGATAGGGGGCTGATCTTTCTATCTACATATAATTATAGTAATGTCCGGTGTGTTATAAAGAGGACTGGTTTCTCAGGTGGATATGTGATGGGTTAACAGCAGTCCGCAAAACACAAGAACGCAGCTTATACGAGATCCAGGAGTACATGAACTCATGACAAATGGGGCATTAAAAAGTACATGGTATACAAGCCAAGAGTTCAAACTTGTAGCTTTAGAAGCCCCGGGTAAAAATTTTTGCAAAACTTCATGCACGAAGAAAATGATGTGCCTCTTAA